AGTTACCCATTTGCATGTCTCTCCATGTCGTTCGACAGGCCTGCTCCATTCAGCCCCGGTAAAACCCAATGGGAAGCTCTCACCAAGGAAAAGTTCCAAGGGAAGAGATGCTGTTTCGGGCAATTGGTTTGGTACAGAACCAAGACTCCTGGCAAGCGCACTCTCGATCCGAACATGGCGCCAGCGCTCTTTTTGGGTTGGAGGGTCGATCCGGGGTTGCGGTACCGTAACGTGGTCAAAGTCATGGACTATGAAGCCTTCCGTAAAGACGGTTCCATTTCCGTTCACGATGTTCCTGAACCGGAATTGTTCGTTGAGGACGGACCCCCAAGCTTCCCGATCGCAGCAGCAGCAGATAGAGCATTGCATGGTGGCAAGACAGACGGGTCAGATCCCCCAACTTTGCCCCTGCGAGAGGCGCCCTTCGGTGTCCCACCGACTCCATCCGCTGTTAAGTCAAAATCCGTGTACATAACTGTTGAGAGGATCATCAAGTTCAAGGAAACGCCAGGTTGCCGTGCATGCACCGGTCATTCCAAGATTCACAGTGCCGAATGCAAGAAGAGGTTCTCCCAACTTGTTTCTGCAGATCGAGCTGAAGCAGCTGCAAAAAGCGCTGCCAAAACTGAATCTAAGGAACCCATTCCCACTGTTCATACTGAAGGGGATGAGGAGCTAGCCAGAGCAATCCACGCATCCGAGCATGAAGAGGATCCTAAAATAGCAGTTAGTGCAGAAGACGTTGCGCATGAATTTGATGCAGCCGAAGCTGGGGAGCCCGCTCCCTCAAGACCCGGCGCCTCATTTTTCGATACCGCGCCAGCGACAGCCGCTACATCGCAAGGTGAAGATTTTTGGGTGTTCAAAGAAAATGCCAACTGTTTGGTTCGATACCATATCACGCCAAGGCAGAATCTTTTTACCCCAAAAGAGGTCGAGGATTGCCCCGTTTCCCCAGAAAGATTTACTGCAGCTCGCACCACTCGTGCCGTGTTTCAGGGGGGCAAAGCAGACAACATTCACGATGGTTGGTTTGGTAGCCGACCTAATCGCTCACTTGGAGATGCATGGACCGGGTTCACAGTGTTCAAGTTAAAACCCATTAAGTCTGATTGTGTTATCACCACAGGTGCAGCCGTGATGTTAGACTCCGTACCGCCGACACCTCTCACCGAAGCGTCAAAGAACGGTCGTCCAGATACATTGCCAATTTTTGGCATGCCATGCAGGGCAGAGGTTGAAGCTCCGCAGCCCAAGCAGTTTGAGGTAGGAAATCATCGTGCCCGCAAGCGACAGGCACGCATTGACAAGTTGCCTGTGATGTTCGAATACGCATGTTCACCAGAGTCCAATATGGGTCGCGTGTTTGAAGGTCTTGGTATACCTCATGTTAGGTTGGCTAAAGAGTTTATCGACCTTAGCACAGATGAAGGAGAAATCCAGTTGCAGTCGCAGATTGAAGGTTGTGACAAACCCAATCTCTGGGCTGCAATTCCCTGCACATCAGGTTCAGCATCGCAACGCCTTAATAAGGCCAAGTTAGGAAGCCAGTTCAAAAAGAAACTGAAGCAAAAGGTTAGAGAGTCGAGAGAGTTGTTCTCCAGATTCAGACGTCACGCAGAGACTGTCCTCCATCAGGGGGGTAGTGTTTCGTTTGAGTGGCCAAGGGATTGCGACAGCTGGGCTAGGGATGATGTTTCTGCATTCTTTAGGGAATACGCACAAGTCTTCACCCCAGCGACCTTCCACGGTTGCGCCCTAGGTCTGAAGGACAGCAATGGTTATCCCATCAAGAAGCCATGGAAAGTCATGACCAGCAATAGCACACTCGCATCCGCGCTAGGTGCATTCAAGTGTCCGCACGAAAAAGGGTATAAACATTCGCTTGCAGCAGGTAACAAGACCGCAAAGACCGCTTTCTACCCCGAAGGCATGTGTCTCACAGTTGCCCGTGCGCTGTATCCGACAGTTCAGCCCGTAGTGCCTGCGATGCCTGTCCAAGTGCCATTGCCTCTCGATCACCGGGAACGTGAACAGCAGCTAAAACACATATCCCCTCTCTCCGGTTTGGAAGACATAGGTGTTGCTGTTGAGTCCGATGAAAAGTGTCACAACATTCTTGAACAAGTTCTTGATGTTGAAAATCTCATCGCACATTCCCTAGGACAAGTCAACAAAGAGAAGGATCCTGAGATCACCGCAATGGTGACCAGACTCTTGTCACGTGCCGAAATGTTGGCTTCCCCGGAAGCTCTTGAAGCCGTTCGACTTGAAGCCACAGGTCTTGAGAAAGCCGGTGTTTGGGATCTTAATTCAGTCCGAGAGTATGATCAAGTCGCTGCTGAGGCGCGACGATCCAGTATAAAAGTCCATTTCGGGCAGTTGATGTCGCTAGCATCCGTCAAGTTCGCCGAACTCGCGAAACACCTTCAGAAGATGAAAGGTAGGATTGTGTATCGCGGAGACTGTGCGAAAGACGAACATGGCGCAGCAGCTGTCTACCAAGAGTTGGGAGCAAATCCCACGAGCGTACAAGGTCTTAATAACTGTCTCGCTTATGGATCCCTGCCAGGGAACTCCACCACAACAGCGGACGCTATAAAGGCTTACGTGCAAGCACTGCTGAAGTCCAAGTACCAAACTTGGATAACACTCCCGCCTGAGCTCCGGCCAAGGTGGTGGCGCGAGCGTTTCGTAAAACCTGTGGTTTTGCTCGTTAAAGCTCTTTATGGGCATCCTGACGCTGGCGGACTCTGGGAGGCACGCCTCAAAGGTTTCATTAGTGAACTTGGAGGGCGTGAGGTCGCAGAATTTCCTGGAAACTTCTGGTTCAAGGAGTCCGGGTTACTTCTCTCGACATACGTCGACGACTTGACGTTGGCCGGCCCCAGCCACCTTCATAAAGACTTCTGGGAAAAGTTAACAAGACTGGTTGATATAGAACCCCCAGAAGACATATATCGGGTGCTAGGCAGGAATCACCTTTTGATAGATGCTCCAAAGGACCCAACTGAACCCGATCTTAATGCCGCAATGGGCAGATTGAAAGGGGGCATGGCGTTCGACATGCGGGATTATGCTTGTCAAACGGTTGCATTATATCTTGAGGTTGCACAGCTAAAAACTGAAAAGTTGCGTGATGCCACCACTCCATTCTGTCCCGCTGGATCCCTTGATCCTGCAGATGACGCCTTGGAGGGTGAGCTCGGCTTCGCCGCCTGCCGCGTGTTAATGAAAGCCTTATGGCTCGGCCGTTTGGCACGCCCAGACCTGGTCAAGCCCATTGGCGACCTTGCCTCATTTGTTCAGAAATGGTCTAGGAACTGCGATAAGCAGCTACATAGGCTTGTCTGCTACATAAACAGCACGGTCAACAGCACGCTGGTCGGCACAGTTCAGGATTCGACTGATGAGTTGCATCTGTCTCTCTATGTGGACGCCGATTTCGCTGGAGAACGAGACGCAAAATCAACGTCCGGAGGATTCTTGACTTTGAGTGGTCCGCATACGCATTTCCCCCTTGCGTGGGTGTCTAAAAGGCAGACCTCGGTCTCCCGATCGACAACCGAGGCGGAGATCGTATCTCTCGCATACTCCCTTTACCAGGAGGCGCTTCCGGCGCTCAGCTTATGGGAGCTGATCTTGGACAGACCATTCCATCTCAAGATCCACGAGGACAACCAGGCGACTATCCTCGTAGCAAAGAAGGGTTTCTCATCCAAGCTACGCTGTGTCCAGCGCACCCACAAGGTGAACCTCGCGTGCATCGCAGAGCAGCTTGAAAGCGAACACATCTCGATAGAATACGTCCAAACCGACATGCAGTCAGCAGACATTTTCACTAAAGCACTTCCTCCCAACAAGTGGGACCATGCCATCAGGTTGCTCGGCATTCGTGTTGATCTTCCAGAGAAGCTTGAAGATGTGCGTGAAAGTAGATCCGCTAAAGCAGCTGCCTAGTGCGCTGCAGCATGTCCGCAAAATTCCCAAAAGTGTGCAAAGTGCCTGGGCGATGCTTGAATAACTTGCGTCAGTCGTTGTGGTGTAAACTTGACTTCAAGTTGGCGTGGTAATGCGCCCAAGACACTCCCTCAGTGCCGTCAATGAGGGGGGAGTCAATTATCACGATGACATTTATGGCCCAGAGGTACATGAGGTAGGTTCTCATGTAGTCAGTTGCATGATGTACATTCAAGTCAATGCCCGAGCATGACACGTTCATTGCTTTGGCTCAAGTGCTGAAAAGAGCGCGTTGCTCGCGCTTCCCACAAGGTTAAGGGAGAGGTCGCAGTCACGGAGGGGTTCGTTCCTTTTAAGGCCCCGGGTTCCCCCGTTGTTGACAAAACTGTGTTTCTCTCTCCTTTGAGTAGCTCACTCCGATTCGTGGGTACGCTTTTGGAATGGCGAGAAAGCAACTTGCAGATGGATGCAGGGGTTACGTCTCGCTCCGGGGAGTTGGACTTTGGATTTGGACCATCTTTGGCATGGCACGCCAAAGAGTTTGGTGGCTTGACCAATCCATTCGGGAAGTGAGTGCCCTGGTGGTTAGCCAGTTCCAAGTGAGTTTCCCTTTTGGGGGGATGTTTAAAGGGGAACTAGAAGGAACCTTGTGATACTGCGCACTAGCTGGTGGCTGTTTCACCCCAGAATCCGTAGGCTTCATCCATGCGCATGGTCAAAAGTCCCAAGTGCCTGGGGTCAACAGGAATGGTCAGCCCTTTGCGACTTTGGCAGCCGGTGAAAGAGATCCTATATCGAAGGGACTCATGGCCATCATGTGACATAGGGACTTTTCACCATAGCGCATATGGACCAACAGGGTTCCCTAGAGTTTGCCTTTTGCGGGTTTGAAGTATCATTTGCTGGCCCCATCTAAAGTAAGTTTGCTTTTGCCGCAGTGATATGCAAAGGATACGTTTTAGAAGAACCCGTACTTGCTTGAACCAGCTATTCAGCGCGCATGTTCGTCACCTTAGCTTGTTCAATTCAGCTGGTGCCAGGAGAATTCCATGCTGCACGCGGTGCTGATGAACAAGAAAGGGATCCCAATTTCCTTGTCCGTGGAAACTTGGCCAAATGCTTGCTGCAGCTGCAGTTCGGCAGCCGGCTCCCATTTCTTTTCGTTCACGCAGAAGTGGGGTCTTGTGTTTCCATGTCTGGGTGGTTTAAACATCACTTTGGCCCCTTTCGAATTCAGTTTCTCTTGGGTGGAGTGATGTTCAAAGAGTGCATGCAAGGTATCATTTGGTTTGTGGGCCTCCGCTTTCTTCAAACACAGCATGCTGTAAAGCTTACATCCTTTACTTGAGCTCAACTGCCACCATTTTTCCCCGGCGGAAATAGCAAAGCAAGTCGGACTCCGGGTCCTCTGGTTTTGGCCTTCGGCCGCCCCTGTTTCCCAAAGGAACAAAACCTCCGAAAGCCGAAAAAACTCGGGGGCTTTTCCGGGTGGCGTCCAAGGTGTGGGCCGCCGTGGCTGGAAGGTGCGGCCTCGTTTGCCACCCTCTGGCCAACGTCCCGCGCCATGTGCTCATCCGCATCCCAGCACGGGCGGAGTCAGGCGGGGAGGGGTGTGGGAGTGAGGGCGGAAGGGACCCCGCACGTGAGCCACGTCCTCAAAACCCGGGTAGGTGAAGGTTGAGAGATGATCCCCTTGCTATAAATGCCTTCCCCGCCTTGCGATTGTTTTTCCTTTGCAACCTTGTGGGTGCACCATTTTAATATCAGCACTTGACATTGGCTCATCTGGGGAAGCCAAGTCACCAAGATGCAACCAGAAGGCCCCTGTAGAATGGACAATGTGGCAGTTGTTTTGTATTGTCATCCGGCGTCTCAGCACTCGTGCTTGCACGCTCACGCTTCCGTGTTTTTTTTGGGGTTAAAAATTCCCGCAGATCGATGCACAGGCGCCCTAAAGCACGAATCCCATGCCAGGGCCGGGAGCCACCTGACCGCGGTTTCTCACGTGTCCTGTTCCATTGTTGCGAATGCTCGCGGATCTCGGAAACGTGGGGAAACGAGGGAAACCGCCTCGGTGAGCCGTGCCCTGTTGACCTATACGAAATTCCCGAGGTTCATTCCATGTCCCAGGATTCAGAGCTGTAAGGGTGGGATATGGTGCTTAGTTTAATGGTCCTTGGTAGCTGATTGCCATTATTCGGTTGCGAATGTCTCCCTTTGCTATGCCTCTCTGAATTAGCAAATGACAATTGAATTCCGTAACCACCTTCTGAGGGCTGTCCGTAACCCTGGCATCATTCAGCAATAGTTAAGCGCAATTTCACAACCATCTCACTTGCCCAAAGGAGTTGGAAACAAAAGGTTAACCTTTTGGCACCTCTACTAAAAATTGACCAAAATGGGAAGGTCAAAAGGTTGGCTTTGGGCAACTGAGCCATGGCTAGGGGTATGCTTTTTGGCATCGCATAGCAAAGCATTCCATCATTCCATTGTCGTGGAAAGCCTGTTGGTTTCATAGTGAAGCTCAAAGAAATCTTGGCCACGTTTTGGGGTCAGACATTGGCAAGCTGGAGCTTCCCTCGAAATCTTTTGGCCGCCCTAAAAAACGGAGTCATGCCAAGCCCGAAAAACAGGAACCCATGAGAAAGGCACCCCCAACCATGTGCTCGATACATCAACTCCAAAATGTACCTCTACTTAATATGATTGGTGATGCGGCCACTTTCGCTTTGGCGTCCCTTGACAGCGAGTCCGAGGCCCGGCAGAGACGCAGGACATGTACCTGGACGCCTTCGACCATGGCCAGCTCATGGATTGGCCGCAGCTCAGGGACTTCCTTTTGGACCTGCTGGGCCTGGGCAGCGGCGGCCGAACCAGACTCGGCGTGTTTTTTTTGTGTGGGTGTGTGTTTTCTCTCTGAAAACATAGTTGAGTGGTTAGAGATGTAAAACAAAAAAGCGACTTGCTTGAAACACCTCATATATATGTATATATGTATACATATGTATACATATGTACATATGTATATATATATATATATAGATAGTTGGTTTTCGAGATTTTGGGCAGCTAAAGTGGGGAGGCTGCTTGCGGGCTTCTCAAAACTATGTTTGTGGGTGGGAAACCCCTTTGAACCACATCTGAGGGTCAAATTTGAGTTGCCTTGATTGGTCCGCCCCTCAGATTGTTGCCAGAATTGTCTTTGTATCAGGAACTGCTTGGTGCGAGGGCACCCCGCTGCCCACTGTTCCCCCCGGGGTTTGCCCCTCCCAGCATAGAGGGAACGAGTCAGGCATGAAACTTGCGATCACATGAGAAATGGAATGACTCCTGACCATCCCCGATTTGGTTTCCTTGAAGGGGACTGAAGGGGTTCATTTCCCCATTCCCTACTTGTCACCGATCGCAAGGAAAGGCAGTTCTTGAAGTGAGCCCGCGTCTAGGCATGGTGGGGCACGAGGTGCATTTGCCTCAGCTCCTCGCTTGAAGACCAGCATGTTTTGGCAAGGCGGTGCAGAAGGCCTGATGAGCCACAATCAAAAACCTGTAGCCGTGGCGATTCAAGGTAGGAAGCCCGTCCCACCAAAACTAGGTGCGTCCACCCTTTTGTTCCTTACGTGCTTTTGGGCAGACTCGCCGCTCTCAGTGTCAGTGCAGCAAGCTTCCATTGCAAGTCGATTTCCCAGCGTGATGTGAGGTTTGTGGCAATCACGCCTCCAGCGCTTCTGTACTTGCGAATGATGCGAAACTTGGAGAATATCTACGGGCAGCGCGGCAGGCGGTTAGTCAGGCAATGATCTCTCAGAATCAGTACTTGTCGATGGGAATGCATGACGCGTCACAGAGAGGGCAGGCAGTTTGTTTGCTGGTGTGATAGGTAGGGAATGAGGGAATGAACCCAGGGATTCCCAGAATGGACAGCACAAGGGACGGTTTATAAAGGTCATTCCCTGATTTCCTGCTGAGCACCAGCAAGTTAAGGTTCGTTGATGACCCAACACATCCTGGATTGAACATCGCAAGTAGGGTCAAAACGGCCCTTTGGCTGACACTCAGGCAGACGGGAGACACAGTCCGACTGCAAGGAATACAGCTTCAAATGATACTTGGCAAATGCATTGGTGGATTCTACTGTGGATGGACAAATTTCTGCACCCTGCTGGTGAGTGGTTTGTCCCAGTACTCATTCGCATTCATCCCCCCAGCTGGCGCATGATTCTGTCCATCCACCGCAGCGTATGTCGCTCATGCAGGGTTGTCCAAAGAACGAGCTTCGCTCATCTTCAGGCGCAGACATGCCATGGGGGGGGGTGGGGGGCACTGGCTGGCCTGAGTGTGCCAAGAAGGGAGCGTTAATCAGCATGAATCCGCTAAGGGGTCCGAATTGTTCAAGTGCATTTGTTCCCTTCTTGCTTTTCCAAAAGGCAATGGTGCCCTTTGTCTACCGACCGGGTCACTGATTGCAGCGGGTGTTCTAGCTGCGCCTTTTGCTATGGGTTTCGGGCCTTCAGCGCCGCTGCCTCTGACCCAGGCGCACGCTGATTCGTCTTTGCGAAGAGGGAGGGGGAGGCTACTAGTTGCAGCCCGAGGAAACTGTGCGCTGCGTGTGGCTGCTCGCCGAGTCGCTCCTTTTCTGAGATTCCCACTAAGGCTTGTGTACTGGCTATATTGTGGCTGAACATTTGGGGGTAGTGGCTTGGGGTAGGGCAAACCATCCCAGAGGCTCTTTGCGGGAGAGGAAAGCAAACTACTTCTAGGGCTCGCTTTTACTTCCCTCAAACTCGTAGCTCCGATGTGACCCAGGCACAGTCATCAGTTCCGATGCGGCAGAATTCCGTGTCAGTGGCAACGTAGAGGCGCAAGGGGCTTGAAGAGCTTCAGGCTCAAGCCCGCAGGCCAGGCGCGACGACCGATATTCCGGAGCCGCACCCTCTGAATCCTTTTCTGCTTAGGGGGTGCTTGTTGGGGTTGACCAGGGTTCCAATTCTTCCACCAGTGTCACTGGAAACATCCCCAATAGAAATAGTGAATCCTGAAAAGGACATGGGCCCCCCTTTGTTTTTTACCGTTGAAAAAGGTGGCTGCAGCTGGGAAGCTGCAGGGCCACAGAATCTACCTCGCGTTACAGTTATGTTCAGATATTTTTTTTTCAGACCTGGGTGTAAGAAACATCGTTCGTCCCACGTATTGTGTTTTTTCTTTGGCATTCCCTTTGCCCAAAAAAAATGGTGCCAGGCAATTTCGAACGAACAACCGAACCTCTGACAGTGCAACCGTTTCTTTCTCTCTTTTTTTTGCGGCCCCCAAATTTGGTTCGGCCAAAAACAAGCACAAAATTGGGGGCCGGACCAAAAAAATGTGGCCCTTTTTGGGTGGTTTTGGGGTTGAGCCCAAGATCCCCCCGAGACCCGCCGGGTCGAGACCCGTCCCTATGGCGGGCCATGGAGGGCGCCTCCAAGTGCTGGAGCTCGAAGGCCTCAGCAGGGCTGGGCATCGGGCGGGGCATCGGGAGCTCTGCTCGGGTTTCCTCTGGTTATTCCTCACGAGAAGTAAACGCCGTGGTCAAAACCAAGAGAAGTAGACGTGGTCAAAACCGTTATCCCAGGTTGGGTTCTTGGTGAATTTGCCACCCGTTTTAGAACCTATTTTAGTGAAGATTGGGATGTTCACTGGGGGTATGATTTGGATTTTGACCCATGGCCAGATGGCTTAAAGAAAAACTAAACACACGGTTTGCCGTTGTGCTTGATCTGTTTTTGGTTTCGTCTCGAAATTTGTCGCCCCCTTTGTAGGTTGGCTGGTTTCCCTTTCGCAGCAGCAAACATGGTGTCCTCCATTTTCAGACGCCGACCCATTGGTACTTTGGTTTGCTATTTTCACTTGCGACCTTGATTTCATGCTAAGCGAAGAAGGCATGCACCCTCCCACAAACGAACATGGAAGTGCGCAAAGCCGATTTCCAAGAGGAAAGTCGCTTGTTACAGGGGTCTGTGCACTTCCATGTTGGTCGGTGGGAGGGTAAGCGTCATCGTTTCTTCGCCCGCGCGCTCGCCTGACGCTTGCCAGCTCAACCCTTTGCGATGCTGCCTTGGCACCACTTGGGGCGCAGTCCAGGAACAAGTCGATGCGCGCCTCGGCTCAAAGATGTTGACCCCTTTTTTAATCAACCCCAGTTTATTAATAGAGGGTGTCCCTGGGCTTAGTGGGGAAGCATCACTTTTGGAAGGGAACACCCCCATACTAAGAAACCAGCATTAATTCAGTTTTGTCCGTTTCCTGACGGGTCAGGGTCAGGTCTGATCGAAAGAGTTTGTGACTTGTTGGGGTACACTTATACATATTTTATGAATGTAGGTGCATACGCGCAATATATGACTCCATACTCGTAAGTATGCATACTCAACCCCGCACCTCCGCCGCAGCAGGGCACTTCGGCGAAGCCTACAGTCATCCAGGCATTGTGTGGCCACCGAAGTAAGCTTGGCGGCACAGGCCTCAGGGGACGCACCATTTTCAGAGAGAAAGGGAAGGGGCGTCCTGCGCAACAAGAGGGTGTTAACCTTCCTCGCAGCAAAGGGGTGCTATGGTGTGGGATCTGGGCGGGGCAAGCTACCTGTGTGGCGGATTGTCTGATGCCCAGATAGAAGCATCGTCTTGCAATGCACCGGGATGGCGTTTGGCTTGACGTTTGCCAGTTCCGATCAACCTTTCTGCAATGTATACACGCACACACATGCGCACACACACACACACATGTATTTGTATATTGCATGTGTGTGCACTCTGCGCATGAGACTCTTGAGCCGTTTTGCCCTTGATGTCCTCATCTGCGGCTTACCTTTTGCCCGCTTGGCTGAGGTGCTGGACGCAGGAGCGGACCTTCGCAAGCTGCTGCCTGTCGGAGCCGGGATGGGGTGATGGGGTGCGCGGATGGGGTGATGGGGTGCGCGAATACTTGTCCAGATCAACATGGGACCCAAAAAGCCGTCAGAGGAGAATCCTTTGCGGAATGGACAGCCGTTTTGGGGCCCATGTTGCATATTCACGTATGAAAACGCAGGACGCAGGATTCCTGAATTGTTCATTCTCGTTTTGCTCATTGATTGGCTGGTTTTTGATTATGCTTGGATTAAGGTATTGGCCAGCTGTTGAGTTGTGTTGATTTAGTTGTTTGTTGTTTTGATGTGTTTATTTGGTTTGGTTTGGTTTGATTTGATTTGACGGATTGGTTGTTGGATTTGCTTGGTTTATATATTCATTGATTATTTGACTTGATTTGATTGATTGGTTGGTTGGTTGCTTGGTTGATTGATTCATTGATTGACTGACTGACTGACTGATTGATCGATTGATCGATTGATTCATAGTTCTCATTGATCCATTGATTCGGCTGATTTTGTTTGGTTGGTTGATGAAAGCGGGCCCTGACAGCATGCCCAAGTCGAGTATTTGCAGATTTGCGAGGAGCGGATGCTGATGAGATCGGAGCTGTGGGCGTGGAAGAACAACTTCTTCAGCTGCGGCTGCAATATCTCGCAAGACGTCCGTCAATTGGATGCACTCTGCAGGGACTTGTGTTCTTTGTTCGGTTTGACCGCTGGCAAAGAGGCAGTTGACAAGTGTTCTCGCTGCTTGCAGTGCATTGCAGTGCGTTCAACTTATTCGCTGTTCCGCTACAGACGGAATTCTGGCCGGAATACTGCTAAACAGGCGGGTGTCGGCAAGGGCATCCTAGGCATGCTTGCAAAAGCGATTCAGCAATGCTTTTCCAGAACAAAGTTCCACGTGTGGGTTGAGGATTGCCTGCTGAATGTTAGCTCGAGAGCTTGTTCTTCGATTCAATCTATCATGTTGATGTTTTTCTTCAAGTGCCAACCGAGTTAGAATATGGATGACATTTCGCTGCAGTTAGAATATGGGTACATTGTATTGCACTTAGAATATCCTCGACGCTCCATGTTCTCATTGCAATAGTTCAAGCATCCATTCTCTCAAGTGTGTTCCCTCGATTCTCACGATTAGGTCAGGCAGCTCCGTCGCAGAAGACTGACTTGCAAGCTACACAATGTGTTGCAGTTTGGAGCGGTTGGACATTTGTTCTATTTGTCGGCCTGTCTTTTTGTTGCTATCGTTACCTTGCTCGTTCCCTATCTATTCGGGTTCTAGCAACGTATTTATGTCGGTGGCCATCGATGTAGTTGTCAGCCTGTTTAGCTGTCTCAGGAAGAATCGGCTCGATTCCGGTCAATTCAGAGCGCGTCCATACGGTTCCCATTTTTGCGCGCCGAGCAGTTCCAGAAAGAAGACATCGAAAGACGCAGGAAGAAGCGAAGCGCCAGAAGACGCGGAAAGGGCAGGAAGAAGCGAAGACTCCAGAAGGCGTAGGAAGACGTTTTCCTCCTTTCTTGTCATTGTTTGGCCCAACTCCAACAGAGATAGGTCGGGGTTGGAAAAGCCAGGCCCCTTGTCGATTCCCAGATCAGCTCAGGCAGCAGACACGCCTTCTGCCGCCTGCGCGACATGCTGGCGCCAGATGCGCGGCCGGAGTGCATGACGATCCTTGCCAGAACTGGGATCGAATTCACTGAATATGGGCATGTGTCAAAAATAGGGGGACCCCAACAATGTGCGGTTCGCCAGTTGATGGCCCTTTAAGCCAACCGAACCGAGGGTACCCATGGTACCCTCAAGGCACACAACCCGTAGTGGCCGGAATCTGATTTTTGGCTTGGGGAAAAAGGCTTGAGTCGTTCAGGCGATGTTCGGGGCTTTTGGGTTCTTCCTTGTGCTTTCCCATGTTCCTCATTTGAGCCATGCGGATTGGGCTGGTGTGGGTTCCCCTCTGGTACGTCGCACCTTTCCCGGGCCGGCTCAGAGCCTGTCGGCTTTGCTTCAGGTACTCCTACACGCGGGGGGGCCCGGCAAGCGCTAACCGCTAACTCGGGGAAGCTGCAAAGCTGAAGGCCGGTCATCCTGCGGAGGTTGGTGGCTAGGGGAACGTCCAGCACTCAAAAATGCACTTCTCCAAACCACAACACCTATGCGCTTATCCGAATCACCAAGTTAGCGCAAGTGGAAAGGAGATTCAGTGGACCTTAAGTGTTGGGCTGCCCTTCTCCAAACCAAAAACAAAAATAACGCATTCCGTACACTGACCTGTTTCTCCTCAGGATGTAGCCTGTCTTGGGCCTTGAGATTGAGGTACATCCTGGAGCTTGTCACTGAGTTCGGGCGCCGCCTGGCCTGAAATCGCCGCTTAGGTGAGGGGAGGGGCGGCCAGCGCCTGCCATGGGCGGTTTCTTGATGTGGAAGTTTTCTCAAAAAAGGGATCGCGAGGCCAGATCTGATTTTCAGTTTGGGGGCCAAACCTCACCACAGCAATTTTCAAAGGGCATGTGGGTGGTTGTCAACAGTGTTTGGTCTCACCTTCAAAAAGCAGCTTCTTTGGCGGCAACGAAGCCAATGGATTTGTGCGTCCATGCTGCAGTTTCCGGCCAAGCCCTTCAATCATGCAAGCTGACAGGAGGGTGTTGGACGACTGCTTTGTTTTTTTCGGGGGAAGTGCCCCTGTCGCAAAAACGAAACACGGACGACGCAGCACGGCACAGCGAATGCTTTGGTGCATTTGGCAAGGGATGTTAGGACTGAATAACTTTTTGCCAACGACTGGGTTTTCCCTGTTAAACCATGGAAAGTTATTCACTTTTAGCAGGGCTTCGCAGATTTCGCAACCGATGGGCGAGGCCTCTTCCGGGTGAACACGCCCCTCTTGCAGTCCAAGGACTTGGCACTCTGCGTGCCAGGCCGAACTCCGCGCAAGTCGCTGACTCGCGGGTTGGGGGGGGGGGGGGGGGTTTGGTGCAAGCAATGATCATGGGTTGACTTGTGGGAACGCTAACAGGATTTGGGGGGTGCTCCAAGTAGTCTCTAACTTAGTTTTGGGTAATCAATTATGGATGCGGTCTCTGAGGCACTGTTGAAAGATACACCACCCCTGCCCAAAAGAAACTAACACAACAATCTAGTTCACCGTCATTTACAGCAGTTTTTTTTCCCGAACGACTGCCGCCTGCAAGCACACTGCCTTTGGCAAGTGCAAGTGAAGGCACTTGGCCTCTGTACATTCGTCACACCTGCCAAAAGCAACCTGATAGAAGCGAACCCGAATGCAGGGTAACTTTGCTATACTTTGCTCACAACTCTCGGGGTATATTTTCTGGACAGCATGCGTGAGACGCATGTTGTGCGACGTTAAGCCCAGGCCAGTAAGTTCCTTTCTTGCCCTTCTGCATCGGTTTACGCAGCTATCTATCTAAATGATCCTTCCAACCTGCCCCACCTAGTCTCTATTGTTTGTCTCTTTGTCTCTCTGTCGGTCTGTCAGTCTGCCGGCCTGTTTGAGCACTGTCTTGCTGCCCGGCTAGCTGAGCCAATTGTTGGCTGCAAAACATAATTCAACAAAAAACACAGGATTCAGTTGCAGGTGGTTCGAAAATATGGGTTTCTTAGGAAGGCTTTCCCTTGGCTCAACCTAGCAAGACGAGGCGTGTTTTGGACCCAAGCCCTTGGTTTTAAGGATGGCCTTGAGACCGCGTTCCAGCCCAGCAAGCTCTGGACAAATCAACCAATTGTCCGTCCCCTGGCTTCCGTTTGAACTGCAAATTCTGGTTGTTAATGTCCGTCATCAAAACCCACCGAGTTGAAGCAAGTTGTTCAAAATTGTTCAGTCAGGAAGAGAAGGGTATTCTGTGCACGGAACTGATGGATGGAAAGGCAGATGGATAGCGCGGGCAGGCAAACACACAGATAGATTGATAGGATTAGAAGGCTGGATGCGCAGGTTTAGTCGAATGAAATATACCAAACTGATGAAGAGCTAGACAAATCAATTAATTAACCTGTAGAGCTATGGATGAAGAGATAGCCAAATAAACAAGTGGACAGATGGATCAACATACAGAAAAGCAGAATAGCACAGACAAGATGAGTAAGGGATAGATAGAGATAGATAGCTAGATCGATAAATAGATGGATAGATAGATAGATAGCTAGACGGATAGGCGGGGTGAGATGAGATACTACTGGGTCATGTCAGGAAAAATCATGAGTGGGACAACCTTGCTCAGTAATTAGGGAATCCTGTGAGTGTTTTTGGGAAACCGCTTAGGATCCCACAGGAGGCCACAAGGCATGTGGAATATGGGTCAGGTCCATTTCCTTCCAAGAACCATCAAGACTGAGATGTCGCTTCGTGGACTGTGAGGCTCTTTTGCTCTTTGCGTCCCTATATTTCCAGATCTGTTTGTGTTTTCCCATGTGTTCTTACATGTTCTTACATGCATCACCTGTTAGGCCATTCAAGGCTAGTCTTTGCTTGGTGGGTGGTGTTTAAATGAGGCATCTATAATATAAGAACGCCTGTCAGGGATTCCTCCGCGTTTGGTTGGTGCAGGGCCCCGTGGAATGTTTGTAATTACGAACATTCTGCTCCTATGATCGTGGCTTAATTTGGTTTTAGGGTACCCTTGTATCAACATATGTTGAAAGGTTGCGACTGGCTCCGTTGCAATTTGGGGGCTGCAATCAAGCACGCGGCGGTTACAACCGTTCGGACAGGCATGTTCATCATCATGCTGACGGACTTGCTAGCCCGCATGCCCTATGAGAAGAACTTGACGCAACTTACTAGCTGCTTGCGCCAAGAAGTGCGGTGAGCGTGTGCGTGTCTGTGTGCCTCCCTCCATGTTAGAATGGATTTACTGTGGCAAGGCTTGTCAGTGGATCCATGACTAGCGGAGATGTTTTGCAAGAGATGAGCCCTACGTTGTTTTATGGCTGGCTGTGCCTGCTGCATTGTCCACCCCATAGCTGAATCGGTTCTATGCCAAGAAGTCCGGCTCGAGGCTTTCACTATGTGAACCACGTTTTCCCTTACGCCCTGAAGGCGTGGTGACATTCGCAGGGGGCAATTGGCTGCCCAGTGCGCGTTTTGCCCAGGGTATGCCACAACGTAGCAAGGTTTTTCCCCGCCCCTCCGATGCAATATGTCTTTGCAGGGAGTCCTCTTCCTTCAAATAGGTTCAATGTTCAATAGCAGGGATAGGACGCAATCCCGCACCAGGTGGGATGGATGAAACCCATATGATTGATTTTGGGGATGAACCATCTATCCGAACTGGTGCAGGATTTCCATTCACGCAGACGGGTTTGAACTTCCTTCTTGCTCGCTAGGCGACCTCTGAACTGGCAGCAGCTGGGTGGAATGTGATTCCAGTCTGGCAGTGTGCTTCTCAGCTTGTTGCATGCATGCGAAGCGGGGTCCAATTAAGGATTGGTTCGAAGCTTGCCCTGTGGCGTGTTTCCTGCTGTTCCTGCTCTCATGATCATCCTGGTTTAAACATGAGCCACTTTGGTTGTCCAAGGCTGACCGTTTAACCTTTTGGGTGTTCCTTTTCAGCAGCCATCTTGTTCGGTGCCAAAATGGTTATCTTTTACTTTCCAGGTCCTTTGAGCAGATTCTCGGCTAGGGACTCAAGAGCCCAACGGAAACGCTAGAGTTCGCCATCCGCTGAGGTCTGTGAAGGCAATGGCGCATGATCTGCGCATCTCGCCTGCAAGACTTTTCAAGACGTGCGCTGGTTCTCTCAGGAATCGTTTGACGGGGGATTGGATGGTTTGGGGAATGAACCGTTTGTTGTCCTTGAAAAAGAAACAACCACCAATTGGACGCTTCAGCTTAGAACTCCATTCCTTACTGAAAACCAGCAAGACGTTTGACTGAACATGTCTCCATTCAGGTGGCTCAAATCCGTTCTCAGAACACCCTTTTTATTTTTGGTCCCTCGGCAAGATCCCCCGCAGAATTTCTTTAGATCACTTCGGTCCTGGCCGGCGAACTTGTTCATTGATGTTCCTTTAGAATTGGTGCAAAAGGTGGTGTTTGAACCGCCCACAGAGAGAAACATGAGGACTGCGAGAGTCAGCCACCCTCCCTCCAAAGCCATGCCAGGAGAACCCTTTCAGAAAAACAGCGGAAATCTTAGTGGTTGTATTTTGCCTGTGGAGCCATTGTTACGCCAAATCACTAAGAACCAGAACCCCGGAACCATTTTTGAGGTTTCCATTTTGCATTTGCACCCCGGAGCCAAGTTTTTAGCCAACTCAAAATGGCTGGCGCTTGGGTCGCTGAGGCCGGCCGAGTGGATGTAAAGCTCAATCCCGTTAAACGGCTGGCATAGCTGGAAAAGCTTTGGCTTGACAAGAGTTTTTTGGCACAGGAAACGGGCTGAAGCAAGAGGAGATTCCTCAACGATGGTGCCTAAACATTGATGAGAGTGTGTTTTTTGCTCCGTTTGTGAAAATCCAAATTGTTTCAAGGGGGGCCAAAGGGAAAACGGGGATCCCCGACAAACCCACATGTTGCGCGAGCCGTAGCCCAGGCTATGGCGGCACCGAGCCCATTCCCGGCACTGCCGCTGAGGATTGTGCGCAGTTGTTGCCGGACTTGCTAGGCGAGCTGGGCCGAGAGGAAACACATCAAAAAAGCTTTTATTTTTCTGTTTTTTTTTCAGAGTAAAGTTCTAGGGGTTGATACGTTAATCTTACACTTCCACCGCAACCCCCATTCTTCTAGGGGTTGTTGATTCCCCATTATTTTTAACCATGGTTCTTTTCAATAACCAGCTGTTTCCGCAGGGTTTTTGGTGGTTTTCTGGAAAGAAGGACCCCTGGCAAGAATCGGGATGCTACCCCTAGAAAAGTGGCAGCTTTATGGGAACCCAGCAATTTGATCTCACTTGACTTGGGGTAGTGCAGATACGCCTGACATCACCAATTGGTATGTACTCCCACTTTTTGGGTGGTTTGGGGCAGGGGATTCCTTGAGCCAAGTTCGGCTGCGGCTCTAGCTCTTCGAGCAAGATGACAAAGCCTGGGGAGGCCCTCCTGCTTTTTGTTGGGAGGAGGTGTCCCTTCAAAATCAGCCGGTACTTTCAAAAAGCCAGGCGCCCGCTGGTTGCCCCATGCAAATCCACTGCGCTAAGCCGGGCTACGCCTGGCTTTTGCTTTTTCGGTCAGGCGAGGTTAAGCGGGGCGCTGTGGAGCAGGAGCGGTGCACGGTTTCGGACATGGGAAGCACGCAGTGGTTGCGGGGTGCTGTGCTGCCTATGGTTTTTCTTGGGGAGAAGCGTTGCAGTGGCCACTCATGCCAGTCGAAGGTGCTTGCCAAGTGCGTGCCACGAATTTCGGAAAAACTCAGTTGTGTTCTTGGTGTCGTCCACACACTGCGGCATGAAGTGGACCCAGAAAGACCGGCCCCCGTCATGCAAAGGCCTGCGGGTGTGCTGCTTCTCGGCTAGGGCTTGCCCGAGTCGCGGTTTTGCTCGAGTCGCGCAATCTCTTTGCCCGGAAGTTATTTATGCACTAGACTTCCCCGAGGTGTTTAAACTCAAGCGTTTTTTTCGGTATCAAGAGGGTGGCCATGGGCTTCATCCAGGGCCTTGCGCGTTTGTTCCAGCCACCAACAAATCTGCACGGCATCTTCGCGGACAAGGGGGCTGACATTTGCTGGCCCTGACTAGCAACCATGAGCTGATGAGTCAGATTTCGCAATTCTGCGGGTTTCGTGGCGACAGGAAGATCTTGAGAATACACAAGGCTGCTGGGAGAGAAAGCAGCATCAGAAGCCTGGAATGCCCCAACCAGCCGGGCTGCGGCAGCTAGTGCTGAGCGCTCACGACTGCAGCCAATCGACGAAATTCGGAGCTCTACGCGGTGGTTCAGAGCTGCCGGGTGTGTGGTCTTGTTCAAAGGGAAGGAAATGAAAGCCAACTCTTCTGGGTGGTTGGAGGCCAGACATTTGGGTGTGGGTCCAAATTAAAGCACCGGGAATTGGACCGAGGTTTGAATGTCCATGTTTCCATTTACTACCAAGCCATTTTGGGGTTACCCTATTTTTGACCCACCGCCATTTTGGGAAGAGTCCGCGTTCCAGGATGCTTTCCAGCTGCGGCGGGCAGCCGCCGCTGTGCCTCCGGCATGGAGGCTGGCCCGTCTGTTGCGTGAGAGGGAGGGGGGCGCCGATTTTTGAGCCACAGCCTCTCTCTAAGTTAGTGCCCGGGGTTGATGGCCCATTCTTTTCAGCCATCGTTCTTTGCAACAACCAGCAATTTCCCAGAGTTTTTGGTGGTTTTCTAGAAAGAAGGATCCCTGGAAAGAATGGGGAAGTTACCCCTAGATTATTGCATTCCTTTGAAAGGAGAAGGGGCGCCACTGATGTGGTGGTTTCCCTGTTCAAGGCAAAATCCAAAGCTGTGGTTTCCATTCAAATTCCAATTTCGGTGTACTTTGGCATCTTAGAGAAGTGCATCCACAAACCCGCATCCAAGCCAAACCCTGGATGCAAGGCTGGCTGTGCAAAGATTTCAAGGGATGCCACTGCCTGCTAATGAGACGTTTGAGCACGCAGTACTGACAAGAAACAATGTTGTCCTAGCCAGTCCGTGCCCCACATGTACCTCTGACATGCTTTTTGTTACCAGCCTTGGGCAACGCAGGAAACGAGATGTTTAACCGTTCCCAATTTGATGTGACTCTTGATAAGTCACAAACGTAGAATCTTGGTGTGTGTGTGCGTCTGTGCAGAGGTAGCAGCCAGTGCAAGAGCCTGTGACCCAGCATGAGTAAAGTGAAGCTGGCAGCCACTCGTCTCCAGCCACTTGATGCGCCAGAGAGCAGTCCACGCCTCAGTGACTTAGGCTGCATCAGTGGGGTAGCAGCTGCTCCCGGTGCTGCCTGGTGCCGGCCAGCCTGGCGCTGGCAGGCGGGGTCCTCAGAAAATGCTCAGAGGACCCTGTTTTGCAGAGGCATAGCTCCTGCGCACGTGGAACATAAACGAAAGATGAGATATCACGAGTTGGGTTTCACTGAGAGGTGAGTCCAACATCTTTGCTCTGAGAGGGATTCCAAGCTCGCTTGCCTACACATGCATCAGAGAAAAAAGGAAAAGGTTGCAACAAGCCCTCGGGACGCTTCACTGGTCCAACGTCGGCAATTGGACTTTGGTACTTTTTGGAAAGACCGTATTTCAATGGTAAACAAAGCGCACAAAGAGTGTTGGCTTTTTCTGACCATTTTTTCAGGAACTGAGAATAGCACACTTTGCTGTATCACTGTGTACCATATGCTTGGCATTCCATGTTAGGTCTGGGCAGCCTGCGAAACAAGGAGAAGCACTTGGTCGCCAAGATGCCACATTGGCACGTCCAGGGAGCTTGGCTTTCTCGTGAAAACCTCCATTTGCAAAGGAGAATATTTTGTGTATTTTCCCTCGTTGGTTTTTGAAGGGAATCGGGTTGGCCGTGGGTCAACACCAATGGTAGGTGAATTCACCACCAATTTTAGTCTATTTTAGTGGGGATTGAATCGGACGTTTAGTGGGGGTACTTTTTTTTTCACCCATAGCCATTTCACCACTGGAAAGATGTTTAAAAAAAACAAAAACAGGCGAAAAAGAAAGCTGAAGACGCGCCTCCCAGAAGATGCTAGAGGTGTTCAGCTCTTCACGGGACGCCCTTCCCCGCTTTTTTCGCGATCGCAACTGAGGCACTTCGAAGGATGCCATGGCAGAAATGAGCTTTCAGTGCTCAACCCTCCTCTGTGCAAATTCTGTGGGTTCGTCACTGAGTAGGGACCCCCCAAAAAAAACACACACACACACACAAGTGATGCCAACCACCTCAAACATATCCCTTCGTACACAGCCGACGGAGTAACTTCAAAAGAATAGAGCCACGCCAGCAATCCGGTTGACTCTCCCGGGTTCTTTAATTAAAGGCACAAACCAGCGCTGAGTCCCAAATTGGGATCATCATGTGGCTGTGCCTTTGGTGCAGCCGGTCGGTACCCCGTTTTTGTTTTTTGTTGGTTTTCCTCTTTTTTTTTCTCGTGGTTTTAAACGCAAGCCAAAAGGAAAGTTAGGGGCTTTTCTAGACAAAGACACACCCATAGGTGTTCTTTTAGGTTGGTTTGGTTAGAAATAGACGGGTTCCACTGGTTTAGATTGGATTCAAGCCTCATGTATGAGGGAAACCCATCTATTGGACCACAAGGACACCTGTGGACACACCCATTTGGTCCAGGAGCGGCTGGACCGGGCCGTGCATTTCATGGCTCAGGCAGCCCAAGGCGACTGGGTCACGCTCCTGCACCTTTGCCAGTGCTACGGGGGGCTCGTTCTTTAACGGCTTGGTGCCCTTTTTGGGGAGTGTTGAAATGGCAACCCCAACAAAAACGTGGCTTCTTGGATTGAGGGAGGATGGACCACTTTAGGCACGTGGTTTGTGGTCTTAAAGTTTGGGGCCTTTGAGGGGTTCCTTTTGAGACAGACCCATTTGGGTACTTTGGTTTGTTGAGGGTGCCCTTTTGAGGTGGTTTGAAAGGGGATTGAAAGGGCTTAAAAGTTATATTTAAATGACATTTAAAAACAAAGCAAAACAAAAAACAAGAAACACCCAGTTTGCGGTTGCGGGGCCTTCTTTCAAGAGATACCCATGTTATGGCCAGGAGGTTCAATGGGAACCCCACAAAGCACCCCAGGTGGCTGGTGGACATAGATCCCACTATGTTCCTCTCCACTTCACATACTGGTTTGGAGCCAAGCTAAGCCATCGCCTACAAATGACCAAAAGTGGTTCTGAACCGTCTCATGGCTCCCGTTTTGGGTGGAGCCGGTGTACCCATGGAAGTGCGTAGACCTTCCAGTTTTCAGAGCGATGTACATTTCTACGGGAGGGGGGTCTTGAAGCTTTTAAAGGAAGACCAAACAGAAACCGAAGCTCATTCTGTGGCGTCCATACCCCATTTAGCATCTGGGCACGCCACGACGCTACGTGCGTGTCCAACCGGACGACATGCATTTTTTAGGGAGCCTCCATTCAAACATCTGACATCCCACTTGGACAGCCAAAGTCTGCAGTTGGGCATCTGGAGCCACAGCCCATCAAACATTTTGCCACAAGTTCCTCGAGCTTCTCAAGAACTCCCAACCATGGCCAGCCTCCTAGGCTTTGGAGCCCCTGGCCGGTCCTTGAGATCTTGGAGACCTTCCTGCCCTGGCGGCAGCGTGTGATTGGGCTGGTCACGGTGCAGACCATGGATCAGGCGCATGGAGCCCATCGATGCTGGCCAATCATCTTGCGGGTGGAAAAAGAGAAGAAGGGATGTGGGTTCTTTCGCCTTATTCCATCGAAGCCGGCCCAGATCGCGGGAAAAAGAAAGGACACTCGGCGTTTGTTGCCACTTCCCATTCCCAAGTGACACCACGCTTTGTTGCTTCCGCTTGCTTCTCGACAGAGGGAAACCCCCAGCTTGACGATGAAGGCCAGGAATTTCGTCCGGGCGCTTCTGAATGAACTGTTTGGGGATCCCTTAAAGGAAGCCAGAGCTTGGATGCATCTTTTTGGGTGACCTTCCGGGTTTTGGATCAACCGTTTGGTCATTCACGAATAAAGGAGACCATAGGTTGGATGGTTTACAGGGGTCATGACCTTGCGTGTGAATAAGATGAAACTTGATCGGGGATGGCTTATTGGGTCATTCTCTCATCCCTGCTGAGCAACAGCAAGTTGCTTGGATGGTGAACCATCACTTCTGGCTTGGTTGGAAACCAGGTGTCACGGTGAAGCCATAGGGCTATGATTTTTTGCAGGGAACCCCCTGCAAAATGGTTGCTGGACAGTAATCCCCACCTAAATGATGTATGTGCACCTAATGAAAAAACACATACCCAAAACAGAAACCAAATCGGTTGGATGGTTCGAGGTCCTTCCATTTCTCATTCCCCAAGCATGTTGCCAGCTTTCAGGAGGCTTCTGGGATCAAGGGCTTAATCCCACTTCTGCGATACAAGGATATCTCCCCCTGGCGGGGTTCGTCCTTGGGAAGGTCTGTTTGTCAAGAACAACAATCATGGGGGCTGGGGAAAAGGAGGGGAGGGGAGTGGAGGGGAGGGAGCCCAACTAAGCCCCAAAAAAGGCCTTGTTAGGGCCTTTTTCTGGGCTTATTGGGGCTCCCTCCCTCCACCCCACCATGAAACAAGAACAAACCACAACCACAAGCTTTGAGCCAAGCAAGAACGAGAACCAGAAGAAACCGACAAACGACCACACACGAATCCCATGTCCCACCCTCCCGCTTTCAGGAGTCCTCCTGCTTCGGGCAGACCGTGTCCCAAGTGCCGCCTGTGAAGCCGAAGGCGGCCACCAGCCGCGACCCAGCTGAAGACTGGGCTCATGTTTGACCGGTGGGTTAATTTAAATGGGTGTGGGTCAAAATTAAAGAGCCAGGGTTACGCAGGTTTAAAAAAAAATAAAGAAAAATAAAAATCAAGATGTTCCTTTTAAACAAAAGCGGTGCCATTTACCAAGGCGCCATTTTGGGACATGTTTTTGAGCCACAGCCAAATGAGGGTTCTCTTAATGACAGCCAAAGGGTTGTTTCCTGGCTCAATGGGACCTGGGTCATGTGTAAGAAGGGGGGGGAATCTCTCGCAAACCACAGGCTTTCCAAGATCTTAAGGCACGAACTAGCGGGGGCTCGCTCTGGTGAGAACGCGTGTGCTCTCAAGAGAGGCTTGCTGGGTCCCATTTGGCTCATTCTTCATGAACCGGGTGCAATCAATGCTCGACTTGCGCTGCGAAACGCGTGTGCTCTCAATCGCAAAACCGATAGGAGCCGCTTCGAGCCTCAATGCGCGAGCGCGAAGTGGCAAGAGATTGGAGATTGACCAGCCACCCATCAAGAGTTAACACCGGATGGCGCCGCATGAGCCCCACGAAGCTATAATCCCGCTTTTACTCCAGCCGCTCAACAAGAACCCTGCAGCCGCTGAAGAATTTTGTGTTTCAAGAGCCGAATTGCACTTGAGGAGGGGGGGGGGAGGGGGCACCTGGGGGCCAGCGGGTGCACAAAAGGTTTGAGGGCTGTAAAGTTGGCCGCGGGTGTCTCCATGTCGTTTTGTGGGCTTCAAATTCAATTGGCTCGCGCACGTCGGTCGGCACAAACGGAGCTCACGTCTAGGCCGCGCGGCGGTGGTGCTGCGGGGCCGGAGCTTCTTCTGGCGCCGGGGCGGGGAACATTTGAACCTCCCGGAGTCGGTGCCGGAGCAGCTCCTGGCAGCCAGGTGCGGTGACCTAAGAGGGGGAAGGGGGAAGGGGGGTGGTTTGTCCTCGTTTTTTGTTGGGGTGGGGTAGGTGGGAAATTCCTCTTCTTTTTTTGGGTGTGGGGGGTGTTTTCCTCCAAGCCTCTACATGTGTGTGTGTTTAAGGGAAATCCTTCGTGGGCATTTGTTTGTGTGAAGGAAACCCAGAAAGAAGCCATCATTGTTTGGGTTGGGGTGTGCCTGGTGCTCGGGGAAGGAATTGACCCGGAATCCAACTTGTGATTTCCTTGTAGGGGCCCAAAATGTCATTCCCGAGCCCCTGTTGATTCCCTCCTGACTTTTCCCTTTCGAGAGGTTTTCTAGAAAAAAGGATCCCTGGAACGAATGGGGAAGGTACCCCTCATGCAAGCGCATGGGGCTTGCAAAGGGTGCTGTACCTTCGGGCCTTGTGCGCTTTGGGTGACGTGGACGGTTCGCGTGTTGGGGTGTTGGACTCGGGCGAGGTGATGTTTGGTTTTGGTTGGGTGTGACTTTGTTGGGGGCTTCTTGGATGCGATTTAGTGGTTTGCCAGATTGGGATGGTGGTGTCAAAGATGGCGTGCGGCACTAGCCTGCCAAAGTTGTAGTTTGCATCTCTATTACGCTATCTCCAACTGCTGCCAGCATGTATGAAGTGGCACATGCTGGGACAAACAATTCCTTCTCATTTGTGCTGTCTCCTTACCCCTATGTTCATCGGGTGAATCTATACACCTGAACCCCTGGTATGAGCCCCGGGTTGGCTTGCTTATCCGTTATGTCTTTATGGGAAATCAGCCACGCAGTCCATGGCCGGGCCAATCAGGAATGGACCTCATTTCGCCTTAAGTGGGACTCACTTCTTGAGCTTCTGGACTCTGTCCACCTTTTGGGTTTCGACCAACTTGGTGGTTGGACCATTCTATCCCAAAAATAGCGACATCTTTGCGAGTCACTGCTTGGGTTTGGACCACTTTACTGGTAAACATCATGTTTGGCTACCCTTTTTCGGCCAATCCACTGAGGGTTTTCACAACATGTTTGGGTTTGGACCAATTTGGTGGCAAACAGAATGGAATCCAATTTGGTTCGGAAACCCGTATTATTTCGCCCATCTACTCCATCGGAAGCGAGGGGATGTCGGTGGTTTCGCCTAGGAGCCACATGTCCAAAGTGGTCAAGCCATTGGAGGCCAGATTCGAATCGCCTCTCCGACAAGAGAGAGACCCCCCCCCCCCCCCGCAGGTCAATCAGTTTTGTTTAGGCCACCCACCCAAGAGGTGAACCTTTTGTCCAGGTCCAAAAAGACTGTTTCATTGCTTGGTCCGTTTTTTCCGACCCAAAGGTGAACAATCTAGTTAGTTCTAGGTCCTTTGGAATCGCTCGCTGCTGAAAACTATCCCGCGTGCTTGCCGGTATGTGCAAGTCGTGTTCGTGGCAATGATGAGCCCATGGCAAGCCAAAACAGAGGTCTCAGCTATGGGGCGGCTGCCTTCCGGGTACCAAATCGACCGTATTGTTCAACTCGTTCCGACCCTGTATTAACACCGAGCCCTACGGAACTGTAGGGCGGCAGGCTACGAAAGTAAGTTTTCTGCAGATTGGCACGGACATTTGGACGTGCGTGCGCGTGTGTTTGTCCGTGTGTGTGTGTGTGTGTGTGTGGGGTGTGTGTGTGTGTGTGGGGTGTGTGTGTGTGTGTGGGGTGTGTGTGTGTGGGGTGTGTGTGTGTGTGTGTGTGTGGTGTGTGTGTGTGTGGGTGTGGGTGCGTGCGTGCGTGCGTGCGTGCGTGCATGCGTGCGTGCGTGCGTGCGTGGATGTGTGGGTGTGTGGGTGTGTGGGTGTGTGGGTGTGTGGGTGTGTGGGTGTGTGGGTGTGTGGGTGTGTGTGTGGTGTGTGTGTGGTGTGTGGTGTGTGTGGTGTGTGTGTGTGTGTGTGCGTGTGTGTGTGCGTGTGTGCGTGTGGTGTGTTGTGTGTGTGTGTGTGTGTGTGTGTGTGTGTGTGTGTGTGTGTGTGTGTGTGTGTGTGTGTGTGTGTGTGTGTGTGTGTGTGTGTGTGTGTGTGTGTGTGGGTGTGTGTGTGTGTGTGTGTGTGTGTGTGTGTGTGTGTGTGTGTGTGTGTGTGTGTGTGTGTGTGTGTGTGTGTGTGTGTGTGTGTGTGTGTGTGTGTGTGTGTGTGTGTGTGTGTGTGTGTGCGGGTGTGTGTGTGTGTGTGCACGCACGCGCGCGTCACACACACACACATACCCCACCACGGCACACCCCACCACACCACACGCACACATACAAACATGCGCAGAAGCACACATACACACACAACACACCAAAAAACAGAAACAGACACACAACACACAACACACCACACACAACACACAACACACAACATACAACACACAGCACAACACACAGAACACACACACACACAAAAACAATCAATCAATCAATCAATCAATCAATCAAACAAACAAACAAACAAACAATCAAGCAAACAAACAAACAAACAATCAAACAAAAAACAAAACAATCAACACAATACAATGAAAACAACACAAAGCAAAGCAGGCAAAGCAAAGCAAGCAAACAAACAATGAAACAATGAAACAATGAAACAAACAAACAAACAAACAAACAAACAAACAAACAAACAAACACGAATGCAAATACTCATGCAAACGCAAACGCAAGCGCAAACGCATACACAAGCACAAACACACACGCACGCATGTCTGGGTTGGTTGTTTGTTTGTGTGTGGTTGTGTGTGTGGGTGCTTGCTTGCGTGCGTGCGTGCGTGCGTGCGTGCGTGGGTGGGTGGGTGGGTGGGTGGGTGGGTGTGTGTGTGTGTGTTTCTGTGTCTCTGTGTCTCTGTGTCTCTGTGTCTTTGTGTCTCTGTGTCTCTGTGTCTCTGTGTCTCTGTGTCTCTGTGTCTCTGTGACTGTGTCTCTGTGTCTCTGTGTCTTTGTGTCTCTGTGTCTCTGTGACTCTGTGTCTCTATGTTTCTACATCTCTGTGTCTCTGTGTCTCTATGTCGCTGCATCTCTGTGTCTCTGCGTCTCTGTGTCTCTGTGTCTCTGCGTCTCGTCTCTGTGTCTCTGCATCTCTGTGTCTCTGTGTCTCTGTGTCTCTGCATCTCTGTGTCTCTGCGTCTCTGTGCTTCTGTGTCTCTGCGTCTCTGTGCTTCTGTGTCTCTCTGTCTCTCTGTCTCTATGTCTCTGCATCTCTGTGTCTCTGCGTCTCTGTGTCTCTGTGTGTCTGTGTGCCTGTGTGTCTGTATGCGCGTGTTTGTGTTGTTTTTGGGCGTGTGTGTGTGTGTGTGTGTGGTTGTGTGTGTTTGTGTGCGCGTGATTGGGTTTGTTTTGACACATACCTTTTTGCCGCCGTCCTGAGGGCATCCCACGGAGGCCTTGGGGTACGAGGTCAGCATCTACGGCGCGACCTATGAGACTGCATTTCTGCAACGCCTGGAGGCGAGAGGAACAACTATCCACGTGCATGTGAGCAACCGTCAAAACTCGCGTTATCTAGAAAATGTATTCGAGCCGTCCCAAAAGCGATGCTCTGCTCTTGTATGCATCAACAAACACAGAGTGAATATAGCTTGCGCTACTTGATCGCGGAGGTTCAGAGGATAAACCATCCATTTTCGCAAGCCCCTCGCAAAAACGACAAACTCATATCAACACTTGACAGCTGTTGGTTGCTAGATGTGCTGGCTGTGCTGGAAGCTAGACCAGCATCATAGCATGCAAAAAGAAGATTCACCGACGCGATGCCCGAACGATGCACGACGCGATGCCTACAGGTCTTCAAGTTGCCCAGTTGCCCATTTGGGTTCTGAACAACCCTTGCCTTTGTTAGAAAGCGCTTGGCTAATTATTTTGTTTACCACCCTGCGGCAGAACCCTGCAACAGCGCCTTGCAACAGCACCCCTGCGCAACTGTGACCGTGGCGCAGCACCTTGCAGCAGCATACTCGACAACACCCCGCAGAAGCACTCTTGCAGCAGCACCATGCAACAGCATTGCAACAGCATTGCAACAGCATTGCAACAGCATTGCAACAGCGTTGCAACAGCATTGCAACAGCATTGCAACAGTTGGTCGGTTACGTGGAAGAACCCAAAGGGCAAACATTTAAGTTTAGTAGCGCAGGTTGGCTTGGAATTCATTGCACACCAGGCATACTCGGATTCGAACATACAATATGTAAGGGCGATGCCCTGAAGAACCAAAACACAAAAACATGCGGGAAGCGATGGGGGCGTCCCAAATTGGCGGTGTCCCCTGCGGGATACAATGAGTTTAGACAGGCGCACATGTGAGTTCTTGCGTTTTGAACGGTTTCTTTTGTTGAAAAGGGAGCCAAAGGGAAACCACTCAATTTGGGGTCGGCCTATCTTGACATACACCCGTGTGGCGTAACTGTTTGAAATTGGCTAGTGGTTCTAGTGATTGCCCAGTTCACGCAGATAGTATCAAGATGCTACGCACGCACACCTTTTTTTTTCTCCCACCTTCGTCAGGCTCACCGCTGTGTACAAACGCATGCGCGTGCTCATGGCCAAGCAGAGGACCTACACATGATAAGGACCTCCTGCAACTGCGCTCATGACTGAACACGCGCCGGGCGAACCAGCAGCATCCCTTTCCACAGCGTTCCAACCTGTAAGCGCGTGCCCTGCAATTTTACAGATCCCGTTCGTTCAATTGCGCGCGCCCAAGACTGAACGCATGCCCGGCGAAATGGTCAGAAGCCCACTTCAAGTGCGCCTTTGCTTGAGTCAGGTGAGAAGCGAGACATGAGGTCCGGCCCCCTCTTCCAGAAGGCGCTATGAGCCCTCTTGCAACCCTTTAGCCCCACCCCCAGTATTCGCATCGCAAGCCATCGGCCACCGTTGATTTGACCTCTCCCCTCTTCGTGCAATACGATAAGCGAAAGCACACACAGAAACAAACACACAGACACACAGAGATACATACCGTTCCGAGTTGATTTTCTGGTGTCGTCGCTGATTCCTCCCTCCTCACCTTACAAAGGCCAAGGCTTCTCCATCACATGAAGGGCTGATTCAGTATACTATTGGAACTCTGTCAGAGAGATCCTTTTGGATTCACTCTGATGCTAGCATGCGGCCACTGACTTTTCACAGACGGAAGTTCTCAGGAATCTCAGGGCCGCGAAGCTTAGTCGGGGACTCAGCAGAGATAAAATCGAAGAAGCTTGTAGCTTTCCTTTACCTCACTCTCTGAGCTCATGGACTTTTACCAACTGTTTGGACTTTTTGCGGCCAACTCACGGGAGAAAAGTGAAGAACCGTCGGATGGCCAGGCAGAGTATCAGCCCAAGCTCGCAGCAAACTTCTCGCGGCTGCCACTTCCGGGGTCGCAGCGGCAAGGCGTTCGTTTGAGATCCTGATGCCCTGATCCTCCATGTTGGAGCACACGCCCCCACTTCAAGGTTGACAAGGTTTGGGAAAACTGGATTTTGGGGGCCCCAACATGTCCCTCGGATTAATCCAGACCTGGCCAGTCCTTTCCAGTCCTTTCCTGTGTGGACCCCTGTTTGGCCAATAGGAATGCGTAAGAAAGTAAAAGGACATTGCATTTTCTTATTTGCAGGGCTAGAAAGGGACTTGATCAGAGGCGGTTTTGGGAGGAGCCCAAAAAAATCGAGTGTTCGGCCAAACCTTGTGGGCGCCTTTACAGTAGTATTGACTGGCTGTCGCCTGAGAAACCGGGCTTTTTTTATATCAGAGGGGGCTCACTAATCAAGTTCCAACATGAAATGGGATTCTGACTCCGAACTATTCTATATTTTAGGGTTGGCTAAATGTGAAACATAATCTGAACATAGTACTTTTTGGTGCCCCAGATTTGGGCCAAGCCATTCGGGTGTTTGACAACAAGCTTTGGATTCCGGCTACTGGAACCTCCTGAAAGGGAGCGAAACGGAAACTACCCTTTTGGGATGTGGGGGAAGGGGAAGGGGGAGTCACCTTGCTTATCGGCCATCCTGTTTGTTCCTAAAGATGAAAACAGAAAACAAAAAAACAAACCTAGGATGGTTGAACATCGGCCATGCTGTTTGTTTTCAAAAGCCTTTCGGATGTGTTCGGCCAGTCTGGGGTGTTGCGCATGTCTCGCGCAGGCGTCGAAGCGGCACTGAACCTGGTCCCTTCGGACAGCGCCCCGGTTTGGTCCCGGCCGGGGGGGGGGGGTGGGGCGTGTCGGCTTTTCACGGGGAACCGCTTCAATGATGATGGACCTCCCCAGAAAGGCGTTTTGCAGGCAACCAAAAGGACAAAGGACCTCTTCGGCGTCCACAAGTGCAAGCTTGTCACAAATGATGTGCCTTCTCAAGCCCTTGGAAAATGTACCCAGCTTGAAGCGAGCTTTTGCCCGACAAAGCCGCTAAGTTGTGTCCCATGGAGGGAAACCTTCACTTTTGGGGGGCACACGCCCAGCAATCCGCCAGGTCTCTCTTCCTGAGTTCCTGGACTTTGTACTTTTTGGAAAGACCATTTTAGCGGTAAACAAAGAGTGTTGGCCTTTTTCTGACCAATCCACTCAGGAACTTAGAGGTAGATTCAGCCGGGATGGACAATTCTGTTCCTGTCTGAGCGCTGGGCGGCTGAGGCGCCCTGGTGGTTCTGCTGCGCTTCGATCTGGTGCTGAAGCGTTCCCTGGGCCCATTTCTGGCGGCCTGGCCACGCCAGGAGCCGGGCACCGCGGTTTGTTTCTTTTTGAGGGAAGCCTCCGAGATGGTTCCAGGCGTCCCTGGCGTCCCCAAGAATGGCACCACTTCCAAAATAACCCTTTTCTTATTAGAAGACCCGAAGCTCAGTTGTCCCAAAACTTGCCTTTCAACCTAGTGGTTGCCGCGTGCCTATGTTCAGTGGTCCTGAAAGCTTAATCCTTTGTGTCCAGTCCTTTCTTGAGCAAGATATTCTGCAACAGAGGCGTGTCATCCCAAAATGGTGGAAGAACAACCCCAGTATCCCATTCTCAGAAAGGGACACTCAAATCTGAAACCGCACAACCTTGTTCATGTTTTTTAGGCCCTCATGAAAACATGTTCACCTTTGCATATTTTTGCAGATAGTCGAGTATTGAGGTCCAACTGAGGTCCAAGTCCTCCTGTGACCGTTTCTGTTGCGAGATGGCGCTGTGTTTGAGGCCATTGTTCCGAAGTCCGCAGATGGCTTCCACTACCCCACAAATCACTACCTCCAGGGGTGTACAAGCGCTATGCAGGCACCAATGATATGTATGTATACTTACATATATGTTATACATATATATATATATATACATGTATCCCCATTGCCCCCCTGCGTCCCAATAGTGGGTTGGGGTTTAAACACCATCTTAGAGGAGTGACCTTGAGGAGTTTCTGGCGCCGTTCTGGTGCGAGCTCTCCAAAATCTCCCTGCTGGAGGGCCCCTGGGCTGAATTGAGAGTCATGTTGGTATAGGTAAAAATAGGGATTTGGATTTGGCCCCCCAATTTTTTTTAGCGTCTGGCAAAGGGCGGCCTTGGCCAAAAAGACAAAATGGCATGGGGAAGCCAAAAGGTCAAAAGGTCGATTCGCTTTGGGCAAGTGAGGTGTGGATTCTCTTTCACATTTTGGGGTTCCCCAAGAACAACGAGCATGACAAAAACAAGCGGTTCTTACTAAGGAGCCAGCAGGATTGCTTGGAATGAACCTACGGATCCCTTAAAGGAAGCCACACGGGCCTGTTGTCTAAGGGGTCCTGCCTTTCCCTGCGCACCAGCAAGTTTTGGAAGCTGGTGCAACTGTGTCCCAGATTGCTACTGCCTGCTGTATCGGCCCTTGGCCATTGCGGGACGTGGTTCTACCATCTCAGCAGAACCAAAGCTCCATGGATGTTGGGGCTGCTCACATGGATCTGCCACGTGGAACTGAGGTGGTAGCCTTTGTGTGTCCGACGTGCTGCAAATCTTCCCTGGTCATGAGCTGGCTCGTGTGCAGCAGGCCCTCGGCACCTTGGAAGCAGGCATGGATTAGCTGACAGCTTAGCAGGGTTGCAAAATCGCTACGGAGCAGAATGCAGAGCCCTCCAAAGTGGTTGGTGGACGTAAATCTAACTCAAATGATGGCCACAAAAGGGCGCTCCAATCAGGATTCACATCCACATCAGCAAGCAATTCTCGGACAAGATGGCTTTTCTAGTTTAAACCCTTCTCCAGGCCCGGTGTGCCTCAGGCAAAGCAGGACGGCTCAGGAGGGGCGCCCTGCTGGTCACAATTGCTCGTCCAAATGCGTGTTTATGTGTTCTTTGCGTTTTGTTTGTCTTAGTTTTGTTGGCTTTGTCAAAAGTGTGTTTTGGTTTTGGTTTTGTTTGTTCAACACGTGGAACACCTGCACACTCTCTGTGTGCAAAACTGCCCAAGACCTCTCATGGTCCAAATTGGGACCGCAGGCCTGCCTCTCAGGCCCTGCGCGGGCAGACCAACCAGATTTGCCCCTGTTGGTTTGAAAGGGAATCTATCACTACTGGGAATGTGCTCATTTTTTCCAGCGGATTTGAGTTTCGGGCGAAGAAAAGCACCTCCCACCAGCCTGAAATGGGCTCTTGCATCCCCTCCTCTGGGGGACGCACGGCTTGCCGATGGTGCGGCAGAGAGAGAGAGAGAGAGAAAAAAAAAACACTGCCAATCTTTGCGCCGCAAAGTGAAGCTCTTGGCGACTAGCTGCGCATCTGGAAAGCTCCTAACCCCCTGGCTTCTAAACGGATTGCTACCTCCTTAGCAATGGGAGGCTGAGGATTGGGGCCTTGTGGACGACTACTTTGAGTTTGGGGAAGCCATTTGTCCACTTCCAGGACTGGTTGAGAGGGTAAAAATATACTTGTTGCAGCTGGATGTGTCCGTTTCCTTAGGTGTTTTTCGCGCACCGAAAACGGATTTCTGGTGAGGTGCCATGGAATCCCCCCATGGCCACGCGCACTTCCACGACTGGCTGCAGCTGCTGGTGGAGCAGGGCGTGCTGCCAAACCAGGTGGGCGTGCTGGCGCCCTGGTTTCGGCCCAGGGAACCTGGAGTTCCATTGCTGGATGGTTTCAAGGCAGTCTGATTCCCAGAAGCTCCCCTTCTGTCACAGCCCCGGGGTTTTTAGCCTACCTTGGGGTCGGAAAGGTCAGGTAATCAATCCTGTGGCAAGCAGTTTTGGCGTGCAATTGTCCGATTGCCGGGCGTATCCCACAATCCTTTCTTGCACCGGGAGCACATTCTTCAGCAACGGTCAGTATTGTGGATGGAGTATTGCACCAGTTGGTTGGTTTGTCCTAGTGTAAATCGGGTTTCACATCCATCCCAACTGGTGCAAGATTGCACGGTATCTAAGATCATTGATTGGGGTCAAGGCATGACTTTGGGCACACTCACCAATTTGATCGTGACGAAATAAGGGCAGCCAACTATAGCTGTTGGGAGGGCAAAATAAATCTTGACCATTGCTGCTATCTCAAGCCAGCTAAGCGTGCTTGCTTATGAATCCTGCATAGGCCCTGTTTTCAGAAATCCATGCAACCAAACTAATGCCAGTTTGCGCCGCAGAATTGCTAGTCCACTCTTGGGTCATACTGTAGATGGACGGCATCCTGCAAATTGAAACCATGGGAGATCTTGTTCGTTGGTATTTGCAGGGGGGTCATCATTCCAGGTCTTCTTAGGTGGTGCAGGATTTCGTCCATCGTCTCTTTGTTGCCAGCGTCCAACTTGGGGCTATCTCGGAGCTCTTTAGCTCCCATCAGGCGCTGAAAGAAACAACTTAACCATGACCATCTTGCCAGCTTTGTTGATGATTGGTGTCTTATTGCCTGAAACCAAACCATGTCCTAGGTGCCTGGGCGCTTTATTGCAGATCCCGGCGCGCAGTGGAGCTTTGGCCACAAGAACTCTTCGGCCGCTTCCCATGCGGAGCATGACCTGACGGGACGGCGAAGCTTTTTGACAGGGCCTGACCAATTTGTTTTGGCACACTGGGTGCATGTCCAACCCTCCTGCTGCGGAATGGAACCTCATATGGCCACCAAGTACCCAACAGCGAACGAGTTAACAGCCTCTGAGTCTTTTCCGTGCTTGCCGAAAGCATTAGCAAAGCACTGCTCTCCGACAAGTAAGGACCTTTTCAAATGGACCAACAGGGGGGCTTTCTGTGCTCTCAGAGCTCTCCTTGCAGCTCTGATTGCTACAGTTGCAAGATGCGGAAGCATCGCAAGAGCCCACGCAAGGCCCAAAGCACATGCACTTCGTAGTGGAATTGAAGCAATTGAAGCTTGACCACTGAGCAGTCTTCTCCCCGGTGTTTTTCCGCACTTCCTTGGACTTCACACCTTTGGAACCCCCCCCCCAACCACCCCCCCCGACCAAACCCGACCAAACCCGACCGACGAAAGGAACCCCCTCTACGACTTCGCGAATCGGGATCGCCGCAGCCCTCCCCCGGGCATCAACCGCGGGAACTGGACGTGAGGCTAAAATGGGCGCGTTGCGCCATGAATATATATATATATATACATATATGCATATGGATATATATATATATATATCTTTATATATTTCTATATTTTATAAATCTATGTAGGTATTCTTATGAACTCATGAAACGATATAAGACTTACATGTAAATAAGATATTGATGTGTTAAAGTTTATGCCCGCCGATTGCTATGGTTTGTTTAAGTGTTGTAGTTATTATGTGAATAATAAGAAATTTATGAATAGAATTATAGATGGTTTGTTGAATTTGTTTATAGATATTTGTAATATGTATTATTTTATTATGTATTTTATAATGAATATTTAAATAATTATTATTATTATTTAAATGATAAATACACTAATATTACCTAAATTGTGGTTGTTTATTGTTGCTTAATATATTGGATAGTATATTTATTTATTTATATTATTATATATATATATATATGGGTCTTCCGTGGGCATTTTTTTCTGGATTTTCCCGTTTCGAACAAAAAATACGCTTACTTTATCCAAAAACGCATAATTGGAAAGAAAACGCTTAATTGGAAAGTGGTTCTGGTGCGTGTCCGCACATTTCCGTTTATGTCCCGCCCACTTCCGCTCATTTCTCGCCGATTTCCGCTTATTTTCCGGGAGACAACTTGCCAAATCCTGCTAAATCAAGATTTCCGCGTATTTTTAGTTTTTCCGCTCAAAATCTGAAACGAGCAAAAAAAATGCCCAGAGCCCTAAAAAGTGACCAAATGGAAGACCCAGGTATATACACATTAAACAACAAAAATATTATTAGACTTATAATATGGTGATATATATATATATATATCATGTTTGTATATATATATATATTGTTTCTCCTATATTTTCCTATAATTCTCCTATGAACCGGTACGGCCTCGAGGTCGCATTTCCCGTGCACCGGCAAGCCGTTGCAGCGGTACTCCGGCCGAATTGTAGTGCTTGCGGCGAGCGGCTGTGTTTGTCCCGGTCTTTTCTCCGTGGCACAAGCTCCCGCCTCTCCGCGTCGCCCGCAAGGCCCCGAAATTTTGCCGAAATTTCGGGGGGTTCTTAACAACTTTGCTTAGAGTTCCCTCGGCGTAACCCGGCTAAATTTTCCCGGCGACGCGGCTCTTAGGTTTCCGGACGTTACCCCTGCAAATTTCTTCAGAATTTGACGGCCTTCCGAAAAAATTACCGGGCCAAATTGGAAATTTTGCCGGGTGTCTCCGTATCTTTGCCTCTCTCTGTGGCTCCCAATCTGTTTCCGTGTGTCCGTAGCTATCTATTTCGTAATCTCTGTCTTTTTCTGTCTATCTTCTGTGCATCTCTGTGTGTCCCAATCTGTTTTTTTGGTGTTTGCGCCTCTCTGTCTCTATTTGTCTGTTTGTGTCTTTCTATGTCTCGGTTTGTCTTTGATTGTCTCTATATATCCGTGTTTGTCGTTCGTCTCTATTGCTTTGCGTCTTTTTGCGTCTCTCTGTCTATTTCTGCGTGTCCGCGTCTGTTTATTTGGTAATGTCTGTCTATATTTATCTTTGTCTTTATCTTTTTGTCTGTTTGCGCTTGTTTTTGCGAGTCGGTTCACAAAGATGGACATATTTCCATGTTGCCGCATGCCATATCTCCCCCCGTTTAAACTTTGTTTCTTTGCTTTTGTTCTGTCTTTCTTTTTATTTTGATTGTTTCTATTATTATTATTTTTGGTTGCCCACCTTTTTTTCCTCTCTTTTTCATTCTTTTTCTCTCTTTTTCTCTCTTTTTTTTTCTTCGTTTTTTCTCTCTCTCTTTCTCTCTCTCTCTCTCTCCCTCTCTCTTTTTCTCTCTTTGTCTCTCTCTCTCTCTCTCTCTCTCTCTGGTTTTCTCGTTTTTTATTTTTATTTTCTGTCTTTCTTTTTTTTTCTCTTTTTTTCTCTCTCTCTCTCTCTCTTTCTCTTTCTTTCTGTCTCTTTTTCTCATTCTCTCTTTCTGACAGAAAAAACATATAAAATATATATTTATCTTTTTTTAGTGCCGCTTTATCGCTTTTAGGATGAGGAATAACTTGCTGCTGCTGCTTAGATCTTGTTGGGATATCTCGGGACCGGAGGCACCCTTGGGGAGCCATTGCCTCTAGTTCGGGTAATCTTCGCCAGCAGCAACTCCTCCCATTATGGATTTGTTTCTTCTCTTTTTCGTTCTTTTATTCTCTCTTTCTTTAATTTATTTTTTTTTTTTGTTGGTTCTATTTTAGTGTTTGCCTTTGGTCTTTATTTTTCTTAATATGTTTTTGTGTTGTTCTTTTCTTTTTTGTTTGTTCTTTTTCTTTTTTTCTTTGATTTTTTTTGGTATTGTTGTTGATGGAATTAACGGGTTATTTTTAGTGTATATATATAATGAATGGTTATTTTATATATAATTATAATATTATGATATTAATAATTTATTTTTTAATTGATTTATACACTATAGATCCGTTGCAACGATACTCCGGCCGAATCGTCGAGCGGCTATGTTCGTCCCGGTCGTTGCTCCGCACTGTCTTTTTCGCGGCCCGGAGGTCCCCGAAATTTTGCTGGAATTTCGGGGGGGGTTCTTTAAAGCTTTATTTGAGGTTTTCGCGGGGTATGTTTGCCAAATATTCTCGAATTTTGGCATGTTTCCGGCGACCCGAATCTTAGAACTCCAGATATTACCCCCGCAAATTCCCTCAGAATTTGGCGATGGCTTTCCAAGAAAAACAAAAAATCAGATAATATCCCCAACAGCATGCGGTGCTTTTTTTGGTGCTGCAACCACCCCGGATATTTTTCTTCTAATTACCCTATAGCCCTCGTAGAACCTCATGGAACCGTGGTGGAACCCTGATGGAGTTCTAGTAGATTCCTAGTGGAATAGTGGTGGAACCCTTATGGAGCCCCGGACTATTCTAGAGCCTATTTGGGCTGAGACCCCACAGTTTGCAATTAATACGTTATTTCCTTTTTTCCCGCTTTCTTTTTTTGTTTTTTTCCCTCTTTCCCCTTTTCCTTTTTTCTTGTTTGTTTTTTCTGCTTTCTTTCTTTCCCTCTTTCTCTCTTTTCCTCTTTCCCTCTTTCCTTCTTTCCCTCTTTCCCTCTTTTTCTCTTTCCCTCTTTCCGTCTTTCCCTCTTTCTCTTTTTCCCTCTTTCTCTGTTTCTTTTGTTCCTTTGATTCTTTCGGTTTTTGTCTTTATCTTATTCTTGATTTTTATATGTTTTTTGTTTGTTTATATGTTGTGTATATTGTTTTAATGTTATTGTTGTCGTTCTTTATTTGATTTTCTTTTGTTTGTTTCTTTTATTTGTAGTTTTTTATTTTATCGTGTTGTGTTGTGGTTTCTCGTTATTCTTTGTTATTCTTTTTCTTTATATATATATATATATTTAGTTTTGTCTTTTTCTCCTTTTGTGTTTATATGTATATATATATATATATATATTTGTTTTTGTTGATTTTTGTATTGTTTGTATATCTTTCTACGTTCTTTTGTTTTTATATTGTGTTTAGTTGCTTTTTTGTTTGTTTCTTTATGTTTTGCTATTTTATATTTTCTAATTTTGATATATATATATATATATTTATATATATTCGGGTTGTTATATTGTGTTGTTTCTTTTTCAATTGTGTTTTGTATATGTTTTGCATTTATTATTATTATGTGTTTTTGTTTTGTTGTTTGTTTTTAATGTTTTATTTTTGTATTTATATTTATTATTTTATATTGTTGTTTTTTGTTTGTGATTGGTCGATTTTTAGTTGTTGTTTAGTTTTATATGTTTGTTGTTATTGTTTGTGTAATATATTTTTGGATGTTTATTTATTTGTTTATAAATTTTCGGAGCGTCTTGGGATATTTTCTTTTGGCTGATTTGTTATGGTGATTTTATGGTATTTTGAGGAGCATATATGAATTATTTAGATTCGATTGAAATATTTTTCTTAATATAATAATTATGTTGGTTTCGCCGTTATATTTGTGTAGAATCTTGGGTAGGTCGGATCTATCCAAAAATGGAAATATATCTTTAAATTATTTCAAGTTGAAAGGTCGTATTCTTTAGAATTAGGTTTGGAATTAGTATTGATTTTAGAAACGATGTTTGGATTTAGTCGGGCTTGGAGCGATTTTATTGGGGGTTAGGAAATGATGATCTTTTGTAAGGGATTTATCGGGTTTATGTCACATGAAGATAATCGATGATAATTGGATATTTTGCAAAATTAATTAAATAAATTGTATTGAAATTATTCGATCGAATTTGTTAGGCATTTAATCTTTGCTCTTTATTAGATATTATCGTTCTTCTTTTCAATTTTGAAAATAATATATTATTTCATTATTTAAAGGAGATAGATGAGATAATTCTTATTGGAGAATTCTTTAGAAAGGCAATGCGAAATAACACCGAAAATTGGTCTTGACATCCCTCATTGGGTTTATCTCGAAATTTAAGACCCTTCCCCCCCGCTCCCCCGCCAAATGGATGTCCCATTCAAATACGGCTTAACCAAATTTAAGGAACCCTTAGTAGCCTCCAAAAAACCGCCGTTTGGAGCTGGATGGGTTTCCTCGGATTCGTTAGGTATTACTCGAAACACCTTGACTGCATCAGAGTATCTGTTTTGTTTAATGCACAACCACCTTTTCGGGTGCTAGTATGATGTGAAATCGCCCGGATGAGGCATTCCCATGCTAATGCGGTGTTCCCCTGCGTATGGGTGATTCTATGCAGGCATAAATAATTTAATATAAACATTAAATATAATTATCTAAATTATTAATTCATTCTTAAATATTCGTAAACCCAAGATTCATCTAGCTGCTATGTTTAGGTTTCGTTATGGAGGCGAGGTTGTTGTGTGAAATTGTTTTCCGACACAGAATGTATGTGTTTTTTTAAATCCTAATTCTTGAAAGATTTCTTGGTTTATTATATATTTTTGGCAATTCTGGGAATATATTCCTTTTTAAATTTCCGAAATAATTAATATTTATAAATTTATAAAAAAAAATTATATAAATCATATAATATATAAATAGAAAAACAAGAAATATATATATTCTTAGGCGATTGGTAAATTTAAAATGAATTATATAAATTATATTATTATATAAAATATATTTAAAAGATTAATAAAAACAAAATGAAGATATATATAATAATAATATATATTTATATGAAAAGAAAATCGTTCTATGTTTATATATCATTTTGGTCGAATTGATTATTATAATTGAGTTGGTAGATAAATTATGTTTTATTTATGTAATGTTTTGTTTTTTTCAATCTCTTTTTGATGTTTAATTTATTGAATTATTTATGTTATTTAATTTTGCCAAAATATAATACCTAACACGAAATCAACATTTTTGATTTTATACAATTATATCAACAAATATTATTATTTATAAAACCATAATATTACATTTGCCATATAATTTATACCTTCGAACTATTTTATAGATTATAACAAAATCATACACAAATGTAGATTTCATAGATTTTATATACAAATATTATATTATATTTAATCAAAAATATCTTTAACTATATATAATTCTTAAATAAAATTATGAAAATAAATAATAATATAATATTATATTTATTTATTTTTTATTTTATTTTCTGTATGGTGTTTATTCTCTTTATATTTTATTATATTCTCGGCCCATAATAAACCATTATTTATATAAGTTTATAAATATATATATATATATTAAAATATTCTTTAATAAAAACAAAATATAATTTAAATATAAACACTAATTAATATATTATACAATATATTATATTATATAAATTATGAAATATTTATATATACTTCTATAAAATCACAAAGAAACCACATATAATATTAAAAATCCATATTCGAATCATATAATTATCTAACCATATTCATGTCAATAAAAATATAATTACATAAAATTAAATATCATTAATTCGATTGTGATATATCTTAATTTAAATAATATACTAATATAATATATAAATCAACACCAATATAAATTATAAATTAAACAACAAATCCATCAATCTCACCTTATTATGCTATAAAAATACAAATTTCTATAATACTAGAGATAATTCGCTAATTCCATAAATAAAAATATAAATCAAACAAGAAAGAAAACAATAGAAAAGAAAAGAACCAAAATAGAGAAAAACAAAGAAAAAAAAGAAAAAGAGAAAGAAAAAGAGAGAAAAAGAAAACGAGGAAAGATAAAAAAAAGGAAAACAGAAAGAAAGAGAAAGAGATAGAGAAAGAGAGAGAAATAAAGAAAGAAAGAACGAAAGAAAGACAGAGAAAAAGAGAGAAAGAGAAAAAGAGAGAGAGAGACCCATGGCAGGAGGAATTGAGATGCCCAAAGTGCAGGCAATGGCTTTCCAAATCCCCGGGAAAGATCAATCGATATCCCAATAAGACCTAGTCAAATTATCCCTCATTCTATGGCATGTGTAGGCGACAAAGCGGCACCAGGGAGAAAAAGAAAGAGAAAAAATCAAAAAGAGAGAGAAGAAAAAAAAGACAAAAGAAAACAAAGCAAAACAAGAAAGAGAAAAAGAGGAAAAACAAAGAAGAGAAAAAGAGAAAACACAAAAAAAAAAAAAAAAAAAAGAGAAAAGGGTAAGCAATTTAGCAAAAACAATAATAAAATCAAAATTCAAAGAAGAAAGCAAAGCTTAAAAGGGGGAGATACAGCATACGACAAAGCGAACATGTCTCATCTTTGTGCACCGACCCGTAAAAACAGAAAGCTAAAGACAAAGACAAACATAGACAGATATTACCAAATAAACAGATATAAACACACGAAAATATACAAAAAATAAAGACAAACAACAAACACGAATACATAGAATTAAACAGAGACAAACCAAAACAACCCAAGAGACAAAGATACAAACAAACAGAAACACACAATAATACAACAAGATACGAAATAAATAAATATAAACATACAAAAATAAAGACATAATAAGAAGCAAACATACGGGCACCCAACACGAAATTTTCGAGAAATTTCGATTCGAACAAATCCGTAAATTTCCCCAACATTTAGCCTATTTTTTTTTCGGCAAACCATCAAATTCTAAAAGAATATAAAATATCTAGCAAATAGCAATAATTTCAAAATAATTTATATTTATAAAATAACAATACTTCTATCATTTCCTAAAATCATTATGTTTTTGTTATTTCAACCCAAAATCAAATATAATTATCAAATCAATCCTATCTATATTCATTATACAATAATATTCAATATAATTTTATAAATTCCTTCTTAATTCTTTTAATTAATTATCTCATAACACACATATTCATTCATTCCTCAAAATTATTTTCTTAGAATTCATTCATATCTCGTTTGAAATCAACCAATTATAACAAATTCAAATTTTAAATATCCTATCATTCAATGGTTTATAATTCATATAAATATATATATATATATGTATACACATATTTCTTCACCATTCGTAGGCTGGCAAGTCCAGCTGTGGATGGCGGTCCCAATTATGCGCAAGAAACATGTGTTCTTTGCACTTGGGCGTTGGCAACTCTTCGGCGTCATTGACGCAAGGTGCTCAAGGCCCGAGCTGAAAATCTGCTCAACAGCTAACACTTCACAAGGATATCGCCATTTTGCCAGAGGCAGTCTCAGGCAAGGCTGGCGCATCTTCATGCACCTCCGGCTCAGATGGTTTTGACCTAAGGGAAAAGAAGCAACTTCGTGATTCAGCTTGCAAGCTGTGTGCGCACTTGCTTGCGGTATATGCACCCGCACCTTGAAGCATTGCACCAGGCGATGATGGTGCCGAGAAGGACGAGGACTGCAAATCCTGTTGCTTTCCAAGGGCATCCTCCAACTAAATGGGAGTCTCTCAGTCTCTCATGGTGTATGACCCCTGGGTATAGGTGTATGGCAAAAAGAGAACCTTGCTTTTGTTTTTGAAATCTGCACTTCATGAGTGGGCTGCGCAGAAAAGTCCAAACTTGTTGTTTGCCACTGAAATGGTGATCTCAAAAAGCTTCAGGGAGTAAGAAATCGATTCTGTCCTGCTTGCAGCAGCAGGGGCGCCGCAAAATCCCCACGTCGGAGCACCGCTTCCAGCCAAGGGTTCTGAAGGAAAGTTCCGAGCCCCGCAAGGACGTTCGCCTGACCAAAGTAGGTGGGAAGGAGAAACAAGGCTACAAGACCAAGAACGAACAAACACACAAGCAAACAAACAAACAAACAAGCAAGCAAGCAAGCAAGCAAGCAAGCAAGCAAGCAAACAAACAAACAAACAAACAAACAAACAAGGCAAGCAACTGAGCCGGTCCACAATGTTGCCTTGTTGTGGTTTGGGCGCAACACATCCTGCCGAACTTGCGCATCTGAATGGTCAGGAAATGATGAAGCTCGGCTTTTTGCCAATTTGCTTACCCTCTTCCAGACAATCATCGCGGTACCGAACACCCTTCATTTTAAAAGGCATCTCGCTGTGTGATCTATTTTTCTTTTTGGTTTGGGGGTCACCTCCAAACCGCAGCTGCCAAGCGGCCATGCCCGAAAGCGTCGCAAAGAACTGTGGGGGATATTCCTCAGCCACGCGATCATGTGCTCGTACTTACCGATCGCCTGAACCCAAACACTTTGACAGGAAAAGACGTGTTTCCCTTTGTTTCCCCTTTACACATCCCCCCCACGCCACCAAAAGGAACCGTCCTTGAACTTGGGAAGTGTACGGAGCCAGGGCATGCCCGTGGCCCTTCAGACCTGAAGACCGAGGCTGGAAAGACCTAAAGCTGAAGCCAAGTGCAGGTCAGCCTCAGACGAAACATAGGTGAAGAAGGTGGAGAAGAACATTTGCCGATGGACGGCCGAGACGATGTACAGCACGGGAAGCATCCACCTGGATCGGCTGCCCGGCTTTTAACAACTACTCCCCTGCAAATTGGCTTAAAACCCCACAAAGCAGCTCCTCCAAACAAATGTTCCGCAAATGAGGGAGACCTGCAAGGGAGCTTGCGAGGCCTGTCTTTCTCAATCGCGCCAAGTCCAAAGTCCAAAACACATGCCCTGAGTGCATCCAGGCACTCGTATGGAAGCGGGCGAATGGACAAGTAAAGGACCGCCAGCGCTGCCGTTGCGCAGAAAGGAGCGTGACGATGACCGAACCTGGCATGGTTTTATAATTGGCACAGTCAACAATGAAAGAACCTGTTTTCTAACATGTATAGATGTATCCTTGTGGAACAGCATGTTGCGTGTTGGCGTATTCCAAACCTTACGTAACAGGACACTTCAGAGGACATGTTCTTTGCCCCAGCGCGAGGTTTACTAGCTGGGAAGCGGGCTTGGTTGCACTTTGTTCATGCCTTCGTGCGTTTCCTAGTTGCTGCCTGTATGAAATCACGCACAGCTCTGATTTGCACGTAGACTCTTTCAGGTACACTCCTGCAGATTTTTGCATGGAACATATCCTTTTGGGGGCACCCCCCCAATTTGGGGGCTTCTTTTCTACAACACCCTCCAAAACAGAGGTATTGCTGTTGGTGTTCCTTGAAAACAACAACAAAAACAGGTAGCCTCAACAAGACACAGCCATCTTCATCTGCGGTCCGTGTGGCCTGGCGACGAGAAAACCGAAGAAGGGGATGGCAATGAAGCCGGCGGCTGCTTGCAGGGTGTTGAAAATCGCCAAGTGCATCTCCACCTTGAAGCTGCTCCCTGTAAAGTGACAATTTTTTAGTGGGTCAACTTTAGGCAGGGAATGAGAAATGGAATGACCCCAATCATCCCTTGCGGTTTCCTTTAAGGGGCCTCATTCGCAACATTTTGGGTCGTTCCCTACTGAGAACCGGCAAGTTAAACGGAAACTACCACTAAACCAACCAAAGACCGAAAAACCTCAGGAAAGGATTGCTGGGAACCACCAAAATAAGGAGCCTTTAATGGTTGGTGGGCAAAAATCCACGAAATGCCCTGAGGGTAACGCCAAGGTTCCTGGTGGCTGGTTCCGAAGAAAACCCGCCAAAACACGACGGACACCGACCATGAGCAACAAAAGCATATCGCCCATGGCTTCTGTTGCAGTCTGCATAGATCAAAAACAGGGGCCTGTCACAGCATCTAAGGAAACTGGCCCCAAACAAAAAATAGAGACTTCCCTTTTCTGGTGGCTGATTCTAATGGAAAACCGACCGGCAAAAGAAAACACGGCCGCTGGACCGGGCCACGTTGAGGCCGCTACCGCGAGAAGACTCCAACACGTCACTCTTCCATCGCAGCTCGGCCTCCATCCAACCCATCAAGCACCTGCATGTCATCTCTCTCCGTCCCTCCCTTTCTGGGGACGTGCGACCCTCAAGTGCCTTTTTCTAGGCACCCCTTGGATGTAAAATATGTGTGGAAATGCACACTCTTTATATATATGCATGACTCATGACCCATCATCTACCTATCTAGATCTGTGGGTTCTCAAAATGAGGACTACGTGGTGCCGTCAAATTTTGGTGAATGGGGAATGCGAACTGATACTTCCTCCTATCCTCATGTGGAGAGCAAATTGACCAATGCAAAGGACCAGGAACAAAACGGTTCACCTTCTGAAATCTTGACAAAAAATGGGCGGACAAGGGAACCCAAAAGGGAAAAAAAGGTCTGCTTTGGACGCCTTCCCCCCAGCTGACCGCTCTCCTTTACACTAAGCTTGGGAAGTTTACACGGCAGCAGGTTAGTCCTTGGCTTCACTTGGAAACGAAGGGCTGAGTTTCGATCTGTATCGCTCGCCCGTGCGTCACTGTTTCACTGCGTCCGAAACTGGCTTCCTCCGATGTCCTGAATCAGCAATGGTAGGGACCTAAATGTCCAGCAAATGCAACTGTCCAACCAATGGGAAAGGAAAGTATAAGGGTCCCTTCTGGCCTGCAAAACTGATGAGGGCATAATTCACCAACCTGACTTCAGGCAACCCCAAGTAAGTGACTTTCAGCTCTTTTGACCCAAGTGAACTCGACACTGGTGCAAACCCATGGCTGGCCAGGGCTATCTTAACAGCATCGGCCAAAACTCATTGGCTACAGCCCAAAGAGTACCCCAGTGAACCCCTAAATATTGACATGAGCCAACCAAACATACTTCAACAACACCAGGAGGCAGAAACTCAATTTTGAAGGATTCCTTGTTTCCTCAATCCCGAGAAAGTCCGCTCAGACTCAGAACCTGAGATAACCTGAGCTTGCAGAATTTCCCCGCCCACCTGTTCAGGAAAAGCTGTGAGAAGTGGAAGGCCAGGAAAGCTCCAAACTTCCAGGTGCAAACCTGAGCGGGTCAATCTCGGGGATTTGCGCTGCAACAGCTGGAAGCTCGACAAAGTACATACCAGGTTGCCCATTGTACACACGGGTAGCTAAACTGTACGTGGCCAAGTGAAGCCAAATTCAGATGCCCTGCTTTCCAAGGCCTGCAGCAGGGTTCCATCAAAACATGTCACCTAGGGAAGCAATCTCAAACTCGGCCCTGTCTTAAGGCACCAGCTCAAAAGTAACAGAGCCTCAAAATTCGGCTGAAACGGGTTCTGAAGCCCCGCAAGAGTCCACATGCCAAACAAAAGAGAGATAGGATTTCACCCCCCTCATTTTCCTCCTCCCCTTGTTTGCCCTAAAGCTGGGACCTTGAGGCTCTTTGGGGCGGCTGGATCCGAGTCTGTCAGGTGCCGTCCCAGGCGCAGCACGCAGGGCATGGCGGCACAGCTCCCTGGGCGCCATCTTGCCGTGAAGCGTCTTCCTCGCTTGCGCTTGCGCCCTTTGCTCGGTGTGCTTCTGTCGTGGTTTGTGACTTGACCCCTTGTCCTTTGATAGATGTAACGTCTCCAAGTCCCCAACCAACTCACCGAATCAGTGCAATCAAAAGGGCTCCCATTTGGCTGTCAGAAGGTTTCGAAACCTCATAGAAAGTAACCAACTTGCGCGTAAGTTCGCTGAACTACCGTGTTTAGTTCCGATCAGCAATCCGAGAGTTGAGCGTGAAATCACCGCCAACGGATTGCGGGCTGCAAGTACTTCAGCCGAACACCAGCTCAACACCGTCTTCTACTCTGAAAGTTTTTCTTTCTTAAATCAGTGCTTTCCTCTTTGTTGTTGTTGTTGCTGCTGCTGCTGCTGCTGCTGCTGCTGGTGTTGTTGTCGTCGTCATGGTGGTGGTGATGGTGGTGGTGGTGGTGGTGGTGGTGGTCGTGGTCGTTGTGGTTGGCTCCAACCCCACGTAAACGCAATTAAACGCGCGTTTTAGATGCTTCACAGCAAGTGCATTTTCGTAGGCAGGCGCAGCAGTTCGTGCATGTTGGGGTTGAAGAATTATGAAGAATTGTCATTTGGACTGCACAGGCGCGCGCGGCAGGAAAGCCGTGGATCATGCGTTTCTGCTGTGTGCGACGTGTCTGTTTTGTGTGACCAGCGCAGCGTTTCGTGCTGTTTGGAGTCAAGTATGAGCATTTCGTGCCAACTGGTAAGCACACCCGCTCAAGAGCACCCGCTCAGCGCTGTATTTATGTGTGGCAATTGGTAAGCACGCCCGCTCAAGAGCACCCACTCAGCACTGTATCCATGTGTGGCAACTGCAGTAAGCACACGCTCAAGAGCACCCGCTCAGCACGGTACTTTTGTGTGGCAGCTGTTTTGCACCGCTGCTCAAGAGCACCCGCTCAGCAATGTCTCCATGTGTGGCAACTGGTTAGCGCACAAGCTCAAGAGCACCCGCTCAGCACTGCGTGTGTGTTGGTAACCGCACCCGCGCAAGAGCGCCCGCTCAGCACAGTATCCACGTGTGGCAACTGGTAAGCGCACCAGTGCTGTATTTGTGTGTGGCAACTGGAAAGCACATCCACGCAAGAGCACCCGCTCAGCACTGTATCCATGTGTCAAGCACACCCGCTCAAGAGCACCCCCGCTCAGCACTGTATCCAAGTGTGGCCCCCCGCTCAGTAAGGTTTTTCGGTGTGGCAACTGGTAAGCACACCCCTCAAGGGCACCCGCTCAGCATTGTAATTATTTGTGGCAGCTGGTAGGAGCACCCGGTCAAAAGCACCCGCTCAGCACTGTCTCCGTGTGGAAACTGGTAAGCGCACCCGCTCAAGAGCACCCGCCCAGCACTGTATTTATGTTGGTCAGCACACCCGCTCAAGAGCGCCCGCGGCACAGTATCCACCTGTGGCAACTGGTAAGCACACCCACTCAAGAGCAGCGCTCAGCATTGTATCGCTGCGTGGCAACTGGTGAGCACAGCAGCTCAAGAGCACCCGCTCCGCGCTGTACTTGTGTGTGGCAACTGGCAAGCGCACAAGCGCTGTATTTAGGTGTCGCAGCTGTTAAGCACCGCTGCTCAAGAGCACCCGCTCAGCAATGTCTCCATGTGTGGCAACTGGTAAGCGCACCCGCTCAAGAGCACCCGCTCAGCACTGCATGTATGTTGGTAAGCGCACCCGCTCAGTGTCGCAACTGGTAAGCACACCCACTCAAGAGCACCCGCTCAGCACTGTATCCATGTGTGGCAACTGGCAAGCACACCCACTCAAGAGCACCCGCTCAGCACTGTATCCATGTGTGGCAACTGGTGAACGCGCGAGCTCAAGAGAACCCGCTCAGCATTGTAATTATGTGTGGCAACTGGTAGGCGCACCCGGTCAAGAGCACCCGCTCAGGCTCATGCAGCTTAGATGATCAGGTGTTTTCAAAGGTGTGGATCTGGTTGCGCGTGGCTTTTGTTGCATGTAAGATGAAATTCTCGCCGAGCGTTTCGCCTAGGCGAAAGGCGTTGTTGTGACGGATCTATAGGCCGATCCGTCGTGGAGTTGAGATGCTCTCGTGGTGGGGGTGATGCTTGTTTGCACAGTGAAAGCCAGTGTTTTCTGACGCTCCGCAAAACGCTGTTGTTGGTTACCCGCGTTTCCGCGATGTTGGTGCGTTGTGGTTGTCGTTGTCGTTGTCGTTGTCGTTGTCGTTGTCGTTGTGGTTGTGGTTGTGGTTCTGGTTGTGGTTGTTGTGGCTGTGGTTGTGGTTGTGGTTGTGGTTGTTGTGGTTGTTGTGGTTGTTGTGGTTGTTGTGGTTGTTGTGGTTGTTGTGGTTGTGGTGGTTGTCACATTCTTAGATATCCGCAACGCCTGTCGCTCAAATGCACCCAGGCTCATGGTAAGCACACTCGCCCACGCGCATGTCGCTCGAATGCACCCATGCCTGACACATGGTAAGCACACCCGCCCGTGCGCATGTCGCTCGAATGCACCCATGCCTTGCACATGGTAAGCACACGCGCCCACGCGCGTGTCGCTCAAATGCACCCATGCCTGGCACGTGGTAACGACACCCGCCCACGCGCATGTCGCTCGAATGCACCCATGCCTGACACATGGTAAGCACACGCGCCCACGCGCATGTCGCTCGAATGCACCCATGCCTGGCACATGATAAGCACACCCGCCCACGCGCGCGTCGCTCAAATGAAACCATGCCTGACACATGGGAAGCACGCCCGCCCAGGCGCATGTCTTCTTCGTCTACCTGCTAGTCGTCTTCTTCTACGCGGTCTTCTTCCTCTACGTGCTGGTCGTCTTCTTCTACGTGGTCTTCTTCCTCTACGTGCTCGTCGTCTTCCTGTACGTGGTCTTCTTCCTCGTCTACGTGTTCTTCTTCGTCTGCGTGTTTTTCGCCTGCCTTGGTGTCCTCTTTGTGCTCGTGTGCCTTGGCGTTGGTTGTTTGTTGTTGGTTGTTTCTTGTTTGTTGTTGGTTCTTTGTTGTTTCTTGTTTGTTGTGGTTTCTTGGTGGGTTGTTTTGTTGCTGCCCTTTCATGGTGTTGAAACCGACTTGTCGTTTTCGAACCTTGAAAACCAAGCGTTTCGCTGAGCCGAAACCGCGATGGAAGAATATTCTATGTGCCCCGCCATCATTTTCACACTCTGGAAAACAAACATTTAGATATTGAAAACGCCAAAAACGCTGGGTTTTTGCATGATCGGACTTAAATCACCGAATTTCAGCGGACACTGGACAGCCGACGGCCTTGTTGTTGTTGTTGTTGTTGTTGTTGTTGTTGTTGTTGTTGTTGTTGTTGTTGTTGTTGTTGTTGTTGTTGTTGTTGTTGCTGTTGTTGTGGTGGTGGTGGTGGTGGTGGTGGTGGTGGTGGTGGGTGGTTGGTGGTGGGGCGGGGTGGTGGTGGGGGTGGTGTGGTGGTGGTGGTGGTGGTGTGGTGGTGGTGGTGGTGGTGGTGGTGGTGGGGGTGGGGGTGGTGCAGGTGGTGGTGGTGGTGGTGGTGGTGGTGGTGGTGTCGGTGTTGTTGTCGGTGTTGTTGTCGGTGTTGTTGCCGGTGTTGTTGTCGGTGTTGTTGTCGTTGTTGTTGTCGTTGTTGTTGTTGTCGTTGTCGGTGTCGTTGTGGTTGTGCTTGTGCTTGTGCTTGTGCTCGTGCTTGTGCTTGTGGTTGTGCTTGTGCTTGTGCTTGTGGTTGTGGTTGTTGTTCTTGACGTTCTTGTTGTTCTTGTTGTTCTTCTTGTTCTTGTTCTTGTTCTTGTTCTTGTTCTTGTTCTTGTTCTTGTTCTTGTTCTTGTTCTTGTTCTTGTTCTTGTTCTTGTTCTTGTTCTTGTTCTTGTTCTTGTTCTTGTTGTTGTTGTTGTTGTTGTTGTTGTTGTTGTTGTTGTTGTTGTTGTTGTTGTTGTTGTTGTCGTTGTTTAGTTCAAGGGGGCACACCTGGAAGTGGACTGCCGGTCTAAAGATGTCTCCTAAGCTGTCCTGTGCTCAGTTTGGCTCACTTGCCCAAGAAACAAGGGCTTGATCTTCCTAGGGAAACTGCGCATGGCGTCTGAGTCTCTCGGCAGCACCGTCTTGCACCACGCGGCAGCCAGAGAATTTCAACTGCGCTCCTCACAAAGCTTCTAGGGGGTGGAGGGTTTCATTCGGGTGTGTTGTTTTTGAGGGCACCATTCTTTCGGCTCAAAAAGAAACTGAGAAGAAAATCCACCGAAAAGGCGCTTGACCAAAAGGAACCACATCTTGGCCCGTGGCTCTGGCTCTGCCAAGATTGTTGGGTTTTTTTACCACACCCACCATGCGAACAGGTAGTAGAACAACTTACTACGAAGGCGGTTATGGGCGCCTCTGGGTGCTTCGCAAAATTAGGGACCTCTCCGGGTAGCTTCCTTTTGGATTCCATCCAAGCGAGTTTGAGACAAGCCCTTCTTGAATTGGCTAAGGTTACAGATTTAGAATAGCTGTCCAAAAGAAAAGAGATATAAGACATGAAGAAAAACCAGAGAATAATAGCAACCTTACTTGCCTGATCGTCTCCTTTCCTCTGACAGATTCTCGCTCTCGCTCTGTCGCACCACGGGTTCCTCTGACTGATTGTTGTTTTATGTTTTTTGTTGACTGCTCGAGGTTTCTTTTGGCTTTGGACTCCACGCCCCAAAAAACCGCGGGGAATGTGTTGGACTCCAAACCCCAAAACATCCTCGGAACAAAATGATCAGGCAAGCCATGCTGGGATCTTTTTTTTGCTTGCTTCTCGACTTTTTCGGGTTTGGAATCCAATCTGTTGATTTCTCAAGGTTTTTTGGGGGTTTGGAGTCCGAAACTAAAAAAACAAGAAATCAAAAACAGCATGGGTTCAAAAACCCAACGCTCACAACGTCACTTTCTGTTTCTTGAAAGATCCGACCCCCGAAAACGTATTGCTGGAAGCTGTATACCGGCAAACGGCTTGAGCTCGACTCCCACCAATCCCCCCCCGCCCCCCGGTATGCCGTCCTGGTGTGATGGCCTCTCGCGGCCAGAGCCATCCAGAAAGCACAATGTTCACTGCTTCAATCCCCACGTGCACCATGAGGATGGCGGATCGGCTTAGCCCCGCCCGGTAGGCCAGGTCGAAGCCTGCGAGCCCGACGTCTTTGGGGGAAACCAGCCATTTTAACTTCGAAGGGTTGGGTTTTTCAGGAAATTCTACAGGAAAACAGCTGACTTAGGGTGGTTTGGGGCCATGTCCTGTGCGACCAAAAACTGAAAGGCGTGTAAGGAGGTGAGAAAAACAGGCTTGGTGCTGGACAAACAAAGATCCCGAAAAACCACGTCTCAAACAGGGGCAAATAAATCGCGGAAGTTTGTTCCTGACAACGGCCTTCTGGTGGGTTTTTCGTGCTGACCTTTTCTTCTAAGGAAGAAGAGGTGTTCCCAAATCCTCCGGCTGGCGGACATCATGGAATGTCAACCTCGTGGTCTTTCAGAGCGTCGTCGTTTGCGAGTTACAGGTAGCTCCAGAACACGGAGGCACACCAACAGGGTTCGATCTTTAGATATCCCAAAAGGACACTCACACATCATTCTTTCAAACAAGCTGCTTGAAACTCGATCCTCTTTCAGCGCTCCCATCTTCCGCGAGTTGTTTAAAAAAAAAACAAAGCAAAGGCGGCGGCCTTGGAAGGCCAAGGAGGAGATGGAGAACACGGAGACGAGCATGCTGATCACCAGCCCTTTTCTGCTCCCAAAGGCGTTGCCCAGTGAAAAGCCTCGCGGACCCGGCGGCTTTCGGGGGTCGTTGGGAGAAATTCGTAGAACGACTACCCCACACCTGGAAAGACAGGGTTCCTAGTTAACGCCACCCCTTCCAAAGCGAAGCTCACATTGCATAAGCCAAAAAGGTGATGTTTCAAACATTTCAAACCACCCTTTAAATGGAATGGAAAAGCTGGGAGAGTCACTAGACCAAAGCTGGGGAAACCACAAGGTGAACAGGCTGGCCTTTGGGACCCGTGCTTCAAGTCATCTCACACCATCCTCTTGGGATCGGAGGTCAACCTGTGTAGAGTCGGAAGGATTCCATGGTGATGGCGCTCCACGTAGACTTAAACCCAAAATTCCGCTTTGCGGACAACCAGCCTTTGGGCTTGAGACCCCACGGCCAAGAAAAGTTTGGAAGGGCATGGTCAAAATGGAGAGTTGGCCAATCCCAATCCAGACTCCCTATTGGAAAACCACTGCAAAGGGATCCCGTTTGTAACCCAAAGATCTTGCGGATTGCCCTAGCCCAGATTTCTGTGCCGCTCACATCGCCAGGCTGCTGGACAGGTGCACGCAGCATCCTCCCAGGCCGTAGAAGACGTAGGCCAGCGGCCAGGCCCAATCATTGTCCACGTCAGCCAGTCCAAGTAGCAGGCTGCCGACCTGACATAGGGCCAACGCAACTGACGCCTTGGAACAAGGAATCTGCAAACATGAACGTCTTATCATTGGAAGAAAGAGTGGACATGGGAAAGTCTTTTCCTTTGCTCACCCACTGCACAGTTGTCTAAGGAAAAGCACCGGGCACCTGTGTGATCCGCAGGTCACGTTGAGCCCGCCCCTTGCCCCCCAGGATGCTGGGAATGTTGGAAGCACCCATCCAAGGTGTCAACGCCCCGCTTTGGGTTTTCCGGTCTTTCTTTTGTGCCAGGGCGCGAGGATGAGGACTAAGCCGGTGAGCATGCCACCCTTGGGGCCGCAGCAGTCCACCAGAAACCCGCAGAAGACGCCGCCCGAGACGTTGGTGGCGCCCCCGACGCTGAAGACCAAGTTGAAGGCGAGGACTCGCTCAGGACACGACTCCGAGCCACTGCAGCGACCTCCTAGGTGGGGGGAAAAACCCAAACACTTGGGGAAAGCTTAAACGTAACTGGAGGTGCGTTGGGGGATGGGTGTGTTTGTGGGCTGGGTGAGGTTCATGCGCATGCCACTATTGACTAATGTCAAGGACTGATGACATGTACCCTCTGAGAGTGTCTAGGAGTGTCCCCCAGCTTACTGGGAGCCACGACTTGTTAGCTATACACAAGCTCTATGAGACTACAAATGGATTACATAATTGGAGCCAGTAGGGGTAATTGTTGAGGCAAAGCGATTTCACAACCAGCACTCAGCACTGCTGGCTGGCCGTGAAGCAGTGGATACCGAAATCAGACTTTTGTCAAAGCCAACTGCCAGCTGCCATGTCAGCAAGGCAACAGTTGGGGTATCGGTCTTCTACAGTCCCTGTTGCTTTTGTGTGGTAATATTGTCAGGCAGTCATACGATGCTCTGATTGCACAAGCTCGACAAACAGAGGTGACTGCAACCAGCTGGCATGGATTTGTGCTACTGTTTGTGGGGTGCTTGCCTGCTGGGCATGCAGGGCGTTCAACTTCTGCTATATCCTTGTTGCAGTTGCGGCCAAGGTGTCGTCCAACTCATTGCAGCTGCCGCCCTCGCTTTGGTTGGGGCTTGCTTCTGTTTTTTTGTTCTCCTTTGTGTATTGGTGGTTGTTATCGTTATCGTTATTGTTTTCGTCATTGTCATTGCTGCTGCTGCTGCTGCTGCTGCTGCTGCTGCTGCTGCTGCTGCTGCTGCTGCTGCTGCTGCTGCTGCTGCTGCTGCTGCTTTGGAGCCATTGGCGGTGGTTGTCATCATTGCAGTTCTTGTTTTTTACAATGCATGATGGTGCACGGGGCAACCGGATGACTGCTGCTTCATGTTGCCCAGCACGCAGCTGACACACCAACAGAATCGGTGATGCCGCTTTTGGCTCCAGCTAAGCGCACAAACATCCGCTGCGTGCCTATGATCCGGAAGACAAGGGCAACCATTGCCGAAGTCTGAGCTGGTACATCAGATCATCGCCTGTGCGCGTTTGTCACTTCCGCTCTCCTCAAAGGGGCCTGTGGGAAGCGGCCGGGTTCCACTAGGCCAAGGCTCCGTAGACGCCTTCGCTCTGCAAAAGATTCAGCAGTGATGGCCAGCCATAGACGATGCCAGTGCCTAGCGAGGTTCAATGGCCAGCTGTCCAAGCTGTTGGGAAGCTACGCCGCCCTTAGCGGTTGAAAAGTTCTGGAAGGATCCCCTGGTTCCGTTCCCGGTTGGATAGTTCCGGGACGGTGCCCAATTTGCTGCTTGGCGACTTGGCAGGGTTCCCTTGTTGCCACCACTGGCTAAGTCTTCTGTTGGCTCCCAAGTGGACCAAAGGCTGGTTGTTTGAACAAGCTTCTCCCTAACCCTGCTACTTTGAACTTTCAAAGGACCCCGATTTCAGGCAGTCCCTGATTGGAGAATCCTCACTTCATGTCCAACGTAATTTTGGCTTCCCTTGCTCTAGAAATCTGCTTGATTGAGCCAAGGACTGTGTCAACCAGGGCCGCAGAGAACACCGTCCCTGACCAACGTCAGCTCCTTTGCTTTTTCGCCCCCCGAACAAAATGCAAATATATGTCCAGTAGTGAAATTGACTCCCTTTAAAACCAAGATGGCAAAATAAACAACACATTCCTTGCAGCAAAACTAGCTCCTCCAGTAGAGAGGTTAGAATAAGGTTACCAACTTTTTCCTTTTTTGTCTATTTTAGTAGGGGAACCCTCGCAACCAAAAAAGAAATGGTAATTAAAAGGGCACCTAGGTGGGGGACCTAGAAAATGGAACTCCTGTTGTGCGTCTCTCCTTTCGGCACCCCAAGTGGTGTGAAACCCCCCATTGTGACTGATCGATTCCCTTTAAACCCAAAGGGAACCTGATTTTCCCCCAAAAGAACAGAACAACACAAAATCAAGCAACCAAAAGACAGCGAAGAAAGCAGCAAGAAAGCCAACAGCAAAGAAACGACCTAATGTTGACCCAGGATTAATACACCCGTCCCATTATGAGGGGGGTGTTCCCTCCAACAGTGGTCTGAATCCCCACTAAAAGGAATTGGACACCCCCCGATGAAAATCCACCAGGGGTTCTACTCAGATCCGGGGTCAACGAGCTGTTCCTTGCAGCAAAAGGAAGCCGAGGAAAGCGGACGACTTGGGCCCCGAAACTCCAGAAGCTCTGGTAGAGCGTGAAGCCCAGCAGCGCCAGCGCCGCCGAGCCGGCGGCTCGGAAGCCGGCCATGGGGCGGCCGCGAAAACCCGAGGGACCCGAGTCGGACCGAGTCGGACCGAGTCGGACCGAGTCGGACCGAAAGTGGAAGGGAAGCCAACAGCACAACACCCCAACCACAAAAAGCCCAAGCAAAACAGCTTGTAAAAGGGGCAAAGCTCGGAAAGTTGGGGCAGAAAACAAGTTGGAAGGAGATGAAGGAGAGGAAATCCAAGACCAAAGTCGGCAAGAACAGTTGCAGAGCGAAAACTGCGATTTGCGGGACACGCGGAGCAAAGGCTGTTCTGCAGAGAGGGCTCCTGTAAGCTTCTCTGTTTCGGGAGACTGTCGCGGCCCGGCTTGGAGGTTTCTGGTGCCTGCGCAAAAGGCATGGCTTCGTGACGAACGCAAACCACGTGCCATGGTCAAACCTCCTGACCCTCGCGGTTTCCTCAGGGGTTTCGTCAGTTGTTTCACCTTTGAGGTGGCAAAAATGTTCCTTTAAGCACCAACCAAAAGAGGGTTCACACACACACACACACGCGCGCACCCATTTTGAACCGTCCCCGAGTTCAGGACACGTTCGGTTGAAGCCCCAGGCTGAAGCTACTTGTGAAACCGAACGGCAAGCTAAGCGCGGACACCTAGGCAGGCTAGGCCCTCAGAGCCCAAGACTATGTTCTGAAAGCGAACCTTGGCTCACGCTGATCAGAGACGTGAAATGGCAAGCGGTTCATGTCAGAACCGCTGCACGCGGTCGTGATCATGCAAACTGATGGACGAAAGCCTGCCCCGCTTTGAAACCAAGGGAGTTGGTAATTACAGGGGAATCGAATCATTCCAGGGTTCTTAGGTGGTGCCAGATTTCGCCCACAGAATGTACAAGAATCTTATACTCCGGGCTCGTCCAGAAGTGCGTGGCCCCGGGAAACCGAAAAAAAACAAGGTTTCCGCCCTGGATCTCTTGAAGGCTGAGATGGGTGGAGGCTCAGCCGCACAGGTTTTGTGCACAGTCTTCATATGATGTCCATGCCAATCTCTGAGGCCAGTGCTGACAAGCCGCAGCCTGGGCCAAGTGCGGGAATCCAACAAATTGGACGCCTCCACGTGAAAAAGACACACTTCCCTCCTCCATACATCCTTTTCTATGGAAAAGGAACGTATCTCGGGGTCATTTCGAGTCGACCGGGCCCCCTAACACCGTCCAACTCCGCATGGATCTAGCCAACTGTTGCAGCAGCAATTGTTTTGTGTTAGCGCCTTACCAGAAAAAAGAACAGCATTTGGTGCAAGAAATCAACAAACCTCGCAAGAAACAACACAAGAACGAGGTCATTAACACAAAACCCGGCCAGTCCGGTGCCAAACAAGGCCGAAAAACCGCTGCCGAGGGGGGGGGGGTTCGCATGGGCTCGCCAATCCTCCAAAAGCTTGATTGGAAAACCGCTGCAAGCAACTTGAAACCCAAAAAGAGGCTCCACAAAAAGTGGCCTGCAGTATTTGTTGCTTCCACTACTTAACCTGGGAGGAAGTGCTGGCTCCATCCAAATACGTGGTTTCCTTTTGGTTTCCCTCCAAACCAGCCCAACAAAAAGATCCCCTCAAGCGAAGACACACCCATATTTAGCCAACCCCAAACTACAAAGTGATATCTGCAATTCACACAGTCAACATGCGAACATGTCGCACATTTTAGCATATTTCTGCCATACCTGAAGCACCTGCCGGATGAATTACCCAATTACCCCCCTCCATTCTTTGCCTTGCCTGGCCCCCAAAAATCAAGCCGCAAGCCCCGAAAAGTCAAAAAAGGGCTTGGGAGAACACCTCCCTGGACGTGCTCAAGGCAATATGGGCGCTTGGGATTCGAGCGAAAGGACTGAGGCCGTGACAAGCACCAGCACAACCAGGCCGGTCAGCCTTGGGACTTCCAAAGTGAAGGCCCTCCCCCCTGCTGCTTCTGCGAACGATCCAAAAAGGGGCCAGGGTTCTGGGTTCGCAAGTTTTCGGGCTCCTTCTTGAGTGTCTTTCAAGTGATTATAGAAAAAACCCGGCCAAAACACAAATCCGTTTTGGGGCCTTGCGGAACTTGATGAATCTGCCAACAAAATATTGAACCTTTCCCAACTGAACCAAGTCGAAATGGGGCGATCCCGTTGTTTGGAAGGTTTTATATACACTTAAGGGCAAGCAGGAAGAACCTGTAGGGGAAAACCCCTTTTCCCCTGGATGAAACGGAAACCAGGAGGAAACCTGCTATCCTCAAAAAGCCCGAATCCTGCAAAAAAGCCGCGAGCAAACTGAAAAGACTTGGCCTCAACCTGTCTGGGGAAGCAGCTGCCAGCATTTCGATCTTCCCAAGTCCTGCGTATGCGGCTCACGTTGCCGCGAACATGCGCGAACTTGCACAGCTCCACGCATCTTCGACTCCGCCGCAACTCAGACATGGACCTCCATTTGCTCCAGCCCCCTGAAAAAAAACAATACACATGTCTTCATTAGTGGTAGATGCCTTTTAAAACCAACAAGGGAAAATTGACAATACAAAAGGTTCTTAAGCACATGGACGGTGGAGACAAGAGAAGCGGAACTGCGCAGTCCACAGGTCACTCTTGCCGCGCCCCCGCCTGGGATTGTGCCGAGTCCTGAGGCATGGTCCAAACTGGGACGAGGGACACACACGCCCAACTACTTCCAAGGGGTCCCCCCACCGCAATGTGCGAAACCTACCCTGTTATCTTCCACCCCGCAAAAGGCAGGGCCTTTGGCTTGAAACCAAGATCGACATCCAGAAGGGCCCTCTTTTTGGCGGGTCCTTGGGGTCTTCCAAGGAGGTCCTACCAGCGCACCCAGTTCCAGTTGGCCAAGGTATTCCAAAGAACTCCACTGGCCCATTCAAGCGGCCAGCACCCCCCGCCTGGGTCTTCGGGCTGTCAACAACCGCCTCTCGGGTCTCAGGGCGAGGCTCTCAACATGGTGGCCCTCCTGTTGGTTGCTATGAAAATGGAAACCACAAGGACGACCCTTGCAAGACCTCTATTTTGAGAGCCCGCTGAAGTAGCAGCTTCTTGGAACGGAACTCAGGTGGAACAGGCGCCGAGCTTCAGTGAATAAATATGTGGAGTTTCAGACTAGACGCATCCGACAAAAGCGAGGCATGTCACACAACACGGCTACTTACAGGCCTCAGAAAGGTTCCACGGTTTCGGCCTTCTTGGCATACATCCAGCCAAAAGAAACCGTGGGGAAGTGCAGCCAAAATATGTGGACCCTACCCCCCAATCTTGGCAGCAGGTTTCGGAAGACCGTGTCAGCTTCTATCGCTTCTATGATACAGGAATCTGAGCATTCGATGATCACCCCAATGGTACCCATGTACACCTCGCATGTGAGAAGATTGGAGTTTCTTGTCTCCCAAGAAACACGGGGGTCACTGGCGAAGCTAGCGATGCAAATCTCTCCCCGCCTCCTGTGTAGCCTCGGCATCGTCGCCTGCAGCTACTTTGGACCCCGTTTCGGGCTGGTATGTGTCCCGCCCAGTGGGTGACAAAAAGTCCATGGACTTGTTCTGCGCCATTCGAGAGGAAATGCACTTAACCCAGAGTACATGTTGACAGCGGGCCTAGAGCAAAAACCTCAAAGCCCAGCACTGAATCTTTTTCCCAATCCAACCAGCTCGGGATCTCAAGGTGTCAGACCTCCAAAAATCCCTCTCTCTCCGACACCAAGGCGCGTGAGAGCAGCGTGAGCCTTCTTTTTTTTTTGCTCTGTGCGTGCAATGTGGGTCTATGTCCCAGCAGGGGCATGTTGGCGAGCGCCATGTGAGCAGGAAGTACCAACACAGCTGGGTGCTTGCAAAGCTGCGCAGCTCGCTTTGTCAACCCCTCTGGCCGTGGCCCTAGGAACTTTAAGCTTGGCAAGCACCTTGCTGGAGAGGTTGTCTCCACTTAGTTTCTTCCCGAACCAGCGTCCATGCGCTTGACCGCGCGAATTGTGAGGATGTCATTTGATGAGCTCATGCTTCATGCCGCCCAAATGGAGCCTTATTCCTGGGGTCGAATCCTGCAGCCGAAGTCACCAGGCAACAAACATGAAACCAACATGATGTCTTCATTTGGGGACTAACTTAGGTTCTCATGGGTTCTAAATCATCAGCCCAGTGATCTTGGCCATGATCCTATCAGCAGCGTAAAAGCAAATGGCTCATGCCCGTTGCCAAAGAGGGACGCTTCTAGAGTCCAAACACGAAAGGGGCAGTTCTGTCCCCAAAACGAAACAAACCTTGTCGGTAGTTGGTTCAAACCCAAGTGGCAAACGACTTACCTTGACCAAAAACCGAATGACCTCACCCTGTGCTTTTCGTGGTGATCGACATTGTGCTGCCATGTGGCTTTCCTCGCCGCTGATTGGTGCGGTGCAGGATTCTGTCGTCCCCAAGCGCTTCCTTTTGGGCGCCCAGAAAGGGCTAAGGCCGCAACCTCTGGAGGCTCGTCTGTGCGGAGTTCCCCCAAAGCGACCTGCTGATTCATCGCATGTTTCTTGGGCGAAGCGACGAGTGCCATTCCTAAAAATCCTAAAAGCGATGGCAGCTGGGTACAATTGTGACAAGAGTTCCTTGCACCGTGTTGCACTCTTCCGCTGGGAAGCGCTCTTGCGCAGTTGCCAAGAAACCACTCAATGCCATAGATCGCGCGTGTACGTGGCGCTTCGAGCGGGCGGAAAAAGGGGTGCATTTTGCCCCTTCGCGCTTTGAAGCCCCGCGGGCCGAACGGATTCAACCAGAAAAAAAAGACGCACGGCGAGCTGCGGCAAGTGGGGTATTGAAATCCCCCGAGAGGCGCGGGCTGGCGTCGGGCCGTCCAACCGAATAGTTCTCAAATCAAGGCACATGGGCCGAGTTCCCAATCCAACGCCCTCTGAACCTAACGGAAGTCTCAAGCTTCCCACTTGCACCCAGTAATTCGTTCCATAGAAAAAGGGCCCCATTTTGGCGATGACCCGTTTTGCTGGGCAAACCGCCAAGCAAAAAGGCTAGAAGATGAAATCCACAGAAATCCGACAATCGTGGGGCTCCCTTTTGGCTAGACTTTGCTGGTGGAGAAGTGCAAAGGGTGGAATGAACTGGAGCACGGCCCTTTGCCAGTGTTGCCGCCTGTAGCTCCCTGCGTGAGTAAAGGCGAGGCTACGCTGGGAGCCTGATTATTGTTTCAAGCCTCCCTGAGAAATCCCCCGGATGAGAACTGGCCATTGAAGTTAGACCCGTGGCTCAAAGTTCAACACACACACAGAGTCACACACACACACGGCTCCATTTTGTGTCTTTCTCTTCTTTGACTTCCCATACTTTAAATTAACTTGCTCTCGGGCCCTGGTGTTTTCTTGTGTTGGGCTTCTCGATTTCCTTTGTTGCCTCGAAGGCCTGTTTCCGACCACGAATTCCAAAAAAAACCGAGAGCCCCCCCCCCCATTTTTTTTTTAAAGGTACGAACTCAAGAGAAACGTCGATACGGATGAACCCGGGTTGCTGTGTGGGTTGAAACTAAACTCACTTGTTTGGGAGATTCCAAAGGAAGACAATTCCGGAACATTCACCATGAAAACAGTTGATGTGATTTGAGACAAATAAACACAGGTTCCACACGCACACATATATATATATATATGCTCACCCCCCCCCCCCAGGGCCTACCTTTCCACTTCAAAATGTACAAAACCCTCTTATTTTTAAAGACAGGGGGTGTGAGCATATATACGCAAGAAGTGTGCTGTTGCTGCATATTTTTTGTGGGTGACAAGTCATGTTGAGTAACAACAGCAAAGAGTTTATAAACTTTCAAGACAGTTTATAAACCATGTCAAGGGTTTGACGGTTTCCTTGCAACAAGGGCAGGGGGGGGTACTGAGAAGTCTTTACAAAGTTGGCTGAGTCACACCTCACTGCTAAGACTTCCAACCACCCCCCCCCCCCCCCTCCCCCCCAAGACTTCCAACCAACCCCCCCCATCCTTCAACGATACCATGAACACTTCGTAGGGTGTTGTTGCCTTGACGCGGGAAACTCGTCAAACACTCAATAAGGTTTATAGACTTTCCTGAAAGTTTATTTGCGTAGCAAGTGGAGACTGTTGTTTGGGAAAAAAAGGACACTCATTTGAGGCCTTGTTTGATGTGGTTTGGGCATGTGGTCCTAAAAGGTTGATGATTGTGTGTGGGTGTGTCATCACTGCTGCACTGTTATATCAAAGGCTGTCCATTCGGTCCAAGGGAACACAATCTGAGCAACTGCTGCAAAACACTCTGTTTTACAGCATTTTGTTGGATCTCTAATCCCTTGAAATGTCCAGTTTGAAACACCTGAAACCTAGAATCTGGAGATCAGAATCCTTGAGATGTCTAATGTTGGATTCTCCAAGCCTCATAATTTGGAGCCTGGAGTACTCCAACACGAATTGAATTGGAATGTTGAAGGGGGCAAAATGTTGTTTGGGAAATGAACAATCTTCGGGCCAAGGGAACACAATCTGAGCAATTTCTTCAAAACACTTTGTTTTACAGTTCTTTGTTGGACCTGCAATCCCTTGAAATGTCCATAGTGAAGCACCTGAAACCTAGAATCTGGAGATCAGAATCCTCGAGATGTCTAGTGTTGGATTCTCCAAGCCTCATATTTTGGAGCTGGGAGTCCTCCAACATTTTTAAATATAGATTCCTTTCCAAATATACTGCGAATTGAATTGGAATGTTGAAGGGACAACTGTTGTTTGGGGAAAACGATCTTCGGCCCAAGGGAACACAATCTCAGCAACTGCTGCAAAACACTGTGTTTTACAGCATTTTGTTGGATCTCTAATCCCTTGAAATGTCCAATTTGAAACACCTGAAACCTAGAATCTGGAGATCAGAATCCTTGAGATGTCTAATGTTGGATTCTCCAAGCCTCATAATTTGGAGCCTGGAGTCCAACATATCCAAGTACACATTCCTTTCCAAATACGATTTTGATCCGAATTGAATTTGCATATTGAATAGAATTTAGTAAGCACATAGTTCACCACCATTCATAATTCACCATAATGTCTATATTAGATCAGAATTTGAACAGGAATACCTTTCCAAATAAGGAAAATATGATTGCAGTAGAATCCAAATATACTTTAATGCAGACAGAATTCAATTAGCTTTTGAACATAATAATTTGATCAAGAATCCATCCCCAAATACAGCTTGAATTGGAATATAGCTTATTCTGGAAAGAAATCACTTGGCCTTTGCAATCAAATTTTAATAGTAACTCATTCCCAAATATGATTTAGCTTAAATGTGGCTAAACAAATAAAGGGCGCATATCCCCAGACTCCCAAACTTGGTCTGGAGATGTGTTTGGCATGTGCAGGTCTCAGAGCTTTCATTTTCAGGAGATTTTGTGCTTTTGGGTCTGTGCAGGTTCAGAGCTCAAAGCTGCCAAAAACATCATTTGTTCAATGTTTTTCCCTGGTGTACTCAAAACCACTGTAAAAACCCGTGATTCAATCAAAGCCAGGCTCGAATCTGAAAACGGAATCCGTTTTCTGCTTTGCTGCCTTTCAAGCCTCAAATAATCAGACATTTGCTGTCACATAGAAGGTAACAAAACAACAAAAACACTGTATTTTACAGTGTTTTCAGGCATCTGCAAGAAAGAGGCACACAGAGTAGAGTTGACACCTTCAACTAGAAGAGGGCAAAGGTAGGCCCTGGGGGGGGGGCGACCATATATATATATATATATATCTAGAAATATGCATATGTATATACATATATACATATATACATATATGTACATGCAAAACATATAACAATACACATGTGTGTGTGTGTGGCAACGCTATCCCTATTCACGTGTACATGGGTGAAAGTGCATGCAATCGCTGGCTTCTCTTTTGGGTGCCGGCCGCAGTTGGGCGTCCCTGGCTGTGGTTGACTTCTTTCATTCGTCGCTGCGCCTAGCAGAAAGCAGCCTGTTGCGGGGATGACCTTCTTTATCCCCTCGCCAAATACGTGCTCTGAACGTGCATCAATACTTGTAACCAGTCCACCGATTGGCCGAGGCTCTGATTTCCCACCACGTAGCCCGCGCGTGTGGCTTGTACAGACCACACGCCACCCCCTCTGCATAGATTTTAGATGTCCGCAGCAAGGTCTGTTCAAACACCGTGGGACGCAAGTGCTGCGGTTAAAAGCCTTTGTCCGAACTGCCAAATATGAACAAGACGCCACCGTCGTCAAGATCCAGCTAGATGTCGGCTTCGGACAAGGGTCGGTTCGCGGGTTTCCTATGAGCTTTGACCAAAACTTGGCTGCTCCTCACACGATGTTTTGTTGCTGATGAAACAAAGGGTTGCGGACGGAAAAAAAGAAAGCAAAACTGAATTCTGGCCCCCGTTTCAATCCCCTCCAGTACCTCAGCTTTTACCCCGAACTAAACAAGACACTTTTAGACTCCGCCTGGTCAATATTGAGAGAAACGTAAACGAAACAACCCACTACTTGATGCATTTGAGAGGCCCAAGCTCATAATTTGTGGGAATCAAACAAGTCTCGGCCTGTCGACAGTTGTAGGCTTTTCCACCCATGGCTTGATGCTTGAACCTTTATGGGAGCTACTCCTCCGTAAATTGGCATGCTCCCCGCCTAAATAATGCGATGGCATTTGGCTCCATACTAATCTGCAGCGATTTTCCCAAACCTTTTCTTTTGTGGGGGGAGGATCCATGTAGGTGCATCTCAAAGGGGGTGGTTGTTGAAGGGAAGCCAACAGGAAAACCAGCATGAGTCGGGACCCAGGCCCCTTGGAGACGAACCCATTTGATAAAAATAAACCGCGATCTGATGGAACTCGCCAATGTTTGGAGGCTCACTCGCCTAGGCCTCAAAACTTTGGGAGGGATTGGGTCCTGCGCAGAGGCACCTCCTTCTCCTTGACCTCACGAGAAGCCGGAGCCGAAATCAGTATATTTCTAACCCACCAACCCCACCCCCAGGTGGGTGGGTGGATGGGTGTGTGGGGGAGGGGGGAACGCAGCACCTGCAACATGCATACCCAAACTTGGTTGCTGTTGCCCCCTCTGAAAACAGTTTGAAACTTGTGGGTCCAACACGGAGAATCCCACCTGTTTCAACCAACCAGATCTTCAGTTCAAAGATCCAATACCAAATCGCCAAGCAAACATGTCTCATGTCTTTCCCATTTGGATGGCTTGTGGAATTCCGTGGGCGCTTCTGCGGAGCCAGGCCCCGGCCTGTGACCTTCCAATCCTACGAATGGCTCGAAAGCTTTGGCTTCCATGTGGATGGGGTATCATTCTGAGGGCTTTTCTGTTACACCCTGGGATTACACCCCCTTGGAAAATGGGGTCAATACCTGGTGGGTGTATTCCCAGAGAGTAATACAAAAACCCTTAGAATCATGGAGTATCCAATTTCCTACCAGGTGGTTTAATCAGCTCTTCGCAGTATATTTCAGGTTGGCGTGTTTTTGACCATCCTTCCTCGAGAAATACCATTCCTGCCGCAAACACAGCTGCCGGGAGAAAACAAATCTGGAAGATCAGTTTCCTCTTGAATCTTTTGCGAGGCGCTAAGTATTGTACTTCTTTCTTGCCCTCTCTTCCATTTGGTTAAGACCCCTGGCCAAAAATATTTCCAGTAGTGATAGATTCCCCTCCAAAACCAACAGGAAAAATGACTAACCTTCATTGACAAGTCAGAATATGGGTACGGGTCAAAATAAACCCACCAGGAATCGGACCGCAGGTTTTAACAAGTCCCGGGTTCCATTTTCCAGGGCAAGCCATTCTGTTACCCTATTTCTGACCCGCATGATACTGGCCTCATTAGTTTACCATGATCAAAGTCACCCCCGAAGTGGTTGGTTAAGGGGAAACAACCCCATTTTCTGACTTTGAGACCCACCAGAAACCGTCGAAATAATGACACCAGTGATATGCTCGGGGAGGCAAGTAATCGCCTCGATGAAGGTATTCTTGATCTCCACGTGCCAGTCCGTCAGCTCGCCTTCGGGCTCGGGGTCCTCCTGGACAGGTCCGAGGGTCGAACCCTGCGCTGGTGGTACATGAAGAAAACGCAAACAGGCATAGGTGTTCAATTTTTGGGCAGATAGATGAAGCCCTGGTAACCTGGTAGTTGGTGGAAGCACCAGGTAAGCCCGGGCCCTCGAGTTTTCAACCAAATCCTAAAAAGGACACCTATGCAAGACAGAAACTTCAGACAGGTCAGCCAGGTGCCACGGACATTGATATCGGTCACCCGATGAATTCGGATCAACATCGTGGACTCCATCGTTCTCATGGCGCCTTCGAACGCCCAAAGGGTACCCCGAACAAGACATACAGTACTCTAAGACTCTAAGAACTGGACGCCAGATCTTTTCACCATACCCAGACCCGTTCTGGCACTTTCAACCTGCAGCACGCAGGTTTTTGAAATTGGTGGGTAGGCTCTCATTGGGTTCAACACGAACTAAACAAGGTGAGATCTTTCAAAGAACTGTTGACCAATTCTGCAGTTGGAAACCCGGATCACCTTTTGTAGATTGCAGTGAAAGCTTTCCCAACCAATCCTGGGACTGGTCCCACCGAAAAAGGTTTGGCGGAATGATAAGGTCGGGGTATGCTGCAGTCAAACCTCATTTTGCATTGGGATTGGGCTATGTTGGCTTCTGAACACGGTCTAGCAACGGGTTAGTTTAGGGGTCAGGGACGCCCTCTCCAATCCTGGGAATAGGAGTCGGGGGGCAGTTTGAGGAAAAGTACGGCGAACTTTGCCAATCAGGGGTATCACCGAAAATCAACGCAGCAGTTTAATCCCAGACCTGTTTCGGGCTGTTTCGGGATGACATCAATTACACAGGGCAAGCAAGTTAAACCCTCGAACTAGCCCAATGGAAGGCAAGTCAGATAATTAGCCCTTCTATGCACCAACGCTGAGTATGACATAGGGCGTCTGGAAAAAGTATCTCTCTTTGGTTTCCTTGCCAGAACCAGAAATCATGCATGTGGTGTCAAACCTCCTTCTAGCTACCCCCGAATAGCCCAAGTCGAGCATCTCCATGGGTCCACTGTCCCAAACGAAGGCTTTCGGCCCAATGGGAAGCAAACAAGCGTAGCCAGCCAGTTCCTACGCTGAACAAGACCTGGAACCCGTTTTCTTGGTTGCTGTAACGACCCTCTGGAAAAAGTCTTTCTTGTTAGTCCAACGGAAAATCCACTTCCCCAAAAGTTGAAGTCCAAAGACCATACAGATTGTCGGGTCGAATGGTGATCTGACAGCGACTTCGGGTGTCTCTCAATGGAATGGGTCCATTTCCCAAAGCAGTTGCTTCCTTTCTCCTGATGAACCCACTTCCTGAGTGGACAAACCAACAAATCTGCACTTCTTTACCCCCAAAATGGTCCAGACCCGAAAAAGCTTGGAGTCCTCAGTGAGTCCACCGTCAACGGCCCCATGTTTAAAAAGGGAGTCCGAAGCGGAACTCAAATTCTTGTGCGCCGGTCGAAACGGGGTCCATTTTCAGAAAGCTTCCTGCGACCCACTGGAGGCCGAGATGGCGCGGTTGAACTCGGTCTCGATGCCCTCCCACCTAAGCTGAACCGCTGCTTCCATGTGCTTCAGGCCCCTGGGATTTTTTTTTCTCCAGTAGTGATAGTTTCCCTTTAAAACCAACCAGGGAAAATGGAAAATAGTCTTAAGCAAAAGGGAGGCATCTGGTCAAAGGGGTCCCTCAATTCTTGCCCCACAAAACTGGACATCACGTTCCGGACTTTCCCTCTGACAATCCTGGAAGTGGAAAAATAATTTCTCCAGAAGGAATAAGTAGTCTTCCAGAAACTTCCTATCCGCTTCCCTGAGTTGAGTGAGGGTTTGGGGGGGGGGGGGAGCAATATTCAATTTTCAAGGGCAGTTTGAGGTTCAAGAAGGTTCATTGTCCACAAGACCCCACTCAAAAACGCAAGTTTGCCCTGAAGGAACTTTGACATCAAGCGAGTCGAGGGGGCAGCCCGTTGACATTGCAAGCGCCCACGGTCAAGCCAGTGGGACTTTAAGCCTGCCCAGTGACCCAGCCACATGAGACTCCACCAAACAACAAGGAGTTTTGAGGGACATGGAATCGATTGACGATTGGATTTGGGCAATTATGTAGGGTCAAAGGCATCCTCCTTTCCTGCTCCAATGGAAAACAAAAATACCGTTCTCACACTTGGACCTTTTCATGTTTCTTCCTTTCCTCAGAAATGGCTTCCCCAGACCGAGTAAACATGGATCAGTTGTCCCAAGCTTCGGCTCTGCCAAAGGCATGCCAAAGGCACGTGGTCTGCCGGCTGAAGCTGTAGCCCTCCGTCTTCCGGGGAAAGCAGGCGGATTCGAGGACTAGACGTAGAGCCGCCTGGCGACTCGGAGGAGCGGCCATCTGGCCGTGGGAAACGACACAAGCCACGACCTAGACTTTCCATGCGGGTGGATATCCCCCCGACCTTTAGGGGGAGGGGGGTCCGCCAATTGCAGTTAGCTAGCATTCCGCATGAAAGGGACAATGAAGCCAGAAATGGGAATTGCAGGGGTCACCCCCTCCACCAACACACACAGCAACTGCACAAACAGGCGTAGCCAGTGACAAACGGGTGCTTCTCAGTAGCGGGGTTCCAAATCTGGGATATACGTGGAAGTAAAGCTGATCGCCCGGGTGTGCAACGCAAATTACTAAGTGTTTCGTTTCTTGTTAAACAATTCCCGTAGGATTGGTAACTAACAACACGTAAACCACTGCTCATTTCACTCACGTGCCCAAAAGGATCAGACAACGGGGCACGCAGAAAACCATATTAAATGCCTGCTTCAAATTTAGTCAACCCTGAAATAGACCACAGGCCCGGTCATATGTTTGGCCCATGGGTTGCATCCTCCGCCCGCGCAGATCTTTTTGGAAAAGTCGAATTTGCCTCCAACAGGTCCTGACAGGGCGATGACACAAAAACCAGCCATGCGGTGGAAGGACAAAATCCTGCACCACTCGGAAACAAATGGTTGAAACCATTGTTTGTTGGTATTTACGGGGTGCTGATAAGTCCAGGGTTTCTGAGGTGGTGCAGGATTTCGTCCATCCACAGTATTGAACCTTATCATATTTCTGGGCTGCCCTCAGATCCCCCGCAAAAAGTTCAACATGTTTAACTTTTAGTGGGTTAAATGGAAACTACAACTAAACACTAAAAGGCTAAAAAGCTAAGGGGATGGCTGGAAGTAAACATGACAAAAAATCATTTCAAAGGAGATCCCAGTTTGTTCCCACCCCGCACCCCCAGGCCTGCTCATGCAAAGAGTGGACGGTCTTGACGGGTGTGGCCGCTGGAGGAGGTTGAGTCTTCCTTGCGACGGATCCGATGGGATGCGATCGAACACCAAGAACACCCCTGAAATGACTTGCCGAGTGGTGCGTTTCTTCAAAAAAAAGAGAACACAACGACAAAGACAAAACAAAACCAAGAAGAACCCCACCAAGTTTGAGGTCAACGGTCAATCTGCCCGTTTTTGCCGGTGCCGAAAAGGGGGCCAAACCAATTTGCCCCTCGGCCGCGCGCTCCGCCAAGGGGCTCCGCCTTGGGCTTGCGCTTGAGCTCTCCCGGCCGGAGCTCATGGCGCCCGTGCGCGAACTTGCAATCCTTCGAAGGGCAAGTGCCTGACAAGGAAAAAAAGAGGAATCTGTCTAGGGATAGATTCCCTTTAAAACCAAGAGGTGACAATAAAACCAAGAGGCTCTTGAGCAAATTGAAGTTTTGGTTCAATGGAAAAACCTTTTGTCAACTTCCCTCGAACAGGGTGGTTTCGAGCCCGGTTTGGTGGAAGCAGGCTCAATGGAAAAGCCTTTTGCCACAAGTCCTAAGGTGACCTGCTGTTCCGAGCACAGCATGTGCGAGGGCATCCATCCATGCCAAGGAGTAAAAAAGGCTGATTTCAAGAACACAGGCCCCATGGCGGGCCGCTCCCTCAAAATGGGTTTACCATGTACCCTCCACAAGAACCAGGGCTTCAAATCCGCAAATCCCCAACTACCAATCCAAACCACAAAGCGGTTACCTTGGTTCAACGGATTTGCCAAAAGAGCAATTCAGGTTGGCCTTGTTGATGCCCAAGGCCCTAGACCGGGGCGAACACAAGCTGCACAAAGCAGAGCTGTGCAGAAAGGCAGAGCTGTCCACTGACATGTGCTCAGCTTCCCACCGGTTGGTGGTTTGGAGCCCAGTGGTTTGGTGGTGAAATGGAGGGGTGTCCCAAGCAGGTTCAATGGAGAGGCCTGTTACAAAAAGTCAAAAGTCCCAAGGTCCCCAATCCCGAGTCGTCTCGGAGACAAAACAATTCTCAATCTTCCCAGACGGTCCCTCCAAGAAGCTCATCTTCCAGGTGCCCTCCTATGTGGTGCTACGTTTGCGGAATGAAGGGTCAAAGAGTCAAACACCCTCACACCCGGCCTGATTCCATAAATTCTGCGCACAGCCGCGTCTTGGAGAAGTCTGGCTGTGTGCGCAGCTGCCTGGCACCTGAAGCGGAAAAGCACCCGATGTTTCCCTTGAAACGTCACAAGGGAGACTCAGCTTTCATGGGCCAACAGTTTTTTTGTTTTAAGCCACCAAAAAGGGAAATACGGGGACCCCTGACAAAGCCAAACCAAGCAAGAACCACCTGGCAGTGTCCCGGAACTTAAGACACCAAAGGGACGCCAGTCAACAAACTCATGCGACATGAACTGAGACACACCCATATGTGGGGTCAACACTCCTTTGTCGTTTGTTCTGGGGCCTTGCGAACTTTTACATTGGTGGTCTTGAGTATTGGTGGCATTCATGCGCGCCTACAAACGCCACGAGATCAACAAGCAGTTGCTTGGTCCTTCGTACGTGTCGCTTGTACCGCGCGAACCCCCCCAGCTATCCAGCCAGCCGCCAGAGGCCAACCACCAGAGGCCAACGGCTCAGAACCCCTCAAAAAGGTCCATATCCACACCAAAGGGGAGGGTCTGACCATGGCACATTGGCATGGCCCGGGTATCCGCCTTCTGCAAGCCCATCCCGCATTGACCCCCATTCTTTTCGGTTTAGGGGGTATGGTCCGGGCGAGTGAACACCTTGACCAGAAAAAAAAGGTTGGGTTTGCATCTCGGGAGGCCCTGGGAGCAGTGCATCAATGTGCGGAAGCATAAAGGAACTCATCGGCCGCGTTAATGAACTGAACAGTAAAGTACCCCAGACCATGCCGAAGAGTTCTTTCAAATGGAGAACAGGCGCAAGATACCGCAAGCGGCATGAGAATTCATCCGAGACCTTTAAGCCTCGAAGCCTCATTTGCACCAAAGAAATCAAGGGTTTTTGAATGGAATGCTTGAAGATGCCAGCAAATTCCCAGAGGTGCCAGGTGGAGAATTGAGCAAGCAAGAAAGAACTAGAGTTGGGTAAAAGTATTGGATGGCACAAATTCATTCCCCTATGTTGCTTTGGTCATTCCCTTTACTTCCCACATGAAGTGGGCTGTGCCATCTGGGAGAAGTGTGCTGACGCCAGAACTGAAAAGGGTGCATCTTTTTTTGCGCGTACCCCTTTTTTGGTGGTTTTCAAGGGACACCAAAAGGACAGCTGCCATTTTGGGGTAGGGAAGCCCAAAATGAAGGGGGCAACCCATCTAATTACATTCACTGTCGTGTAGAACTGTAGAACTGACAGAGGGATGCACTGCAAATTAAGTTCCCAAGTGCAAACCGCAAACCCATCCCAGTCACGTGGTCACCCACAAGCTTCTGGCACATGGCGTCTCTTTTTGAGACACTCAAGCTGGGGGAGTTTCGGGCAACCGCTAGGGTTCCAACATATCTTGACAACTCCACCATTTTGTTGCCCACCTCTACTCACACCTTCCAGGGCTCCCCCCAAAAATTGCACCTAAAACCATCAGCCCTGCCTTCTGGGAAACCCACCGATGACCCAAGAAGGGCTTAAAACCAACCCTAAAGGGGAAAACACAGGGATCATTGTCTCAGTTGTCCAAAGGACCCAGAAACAAAAGGCGATCACCTGTTGGGACATAATTTTGAGCTGGATCCCTGTCAAAAAAAAGCCGGTCGCGATTGGCAGATCTGCTTTTCTCAGCGATCGATCCGGGCATTTGTGACCCCCGGCCATGTGCAAAATTGCACCCAGCGCCACGAGTGCAAGAGCCCATGAGGAAGAACTTGCAAAGCCGCGTGCGCTTGTGGACATCGATGCGGTGCTCCTGAACTCGCAGGGTGTGGGGTCTCTGTCTGGACAAAAGCATGAAGGACTAAAGGGAGTTGGAACACTGAACCGGGGTGACATTTGAAATACGGGGGTCTGGACAAGAACTATAATTAACTTCCGTCTTTTTCAGCCATCCCAACTTTCGGCTCCCAACTTTTGCAGAAGTCTGGGCTATTCAGCACCCAGCGGTGAATCACTTTCAAGGGGGTTCTATTTCTATGCAAAGTGGGCCCTACCTTGGTGGACCCTTATCTTCTAAACCAAAAACGGTGACTTTCGAATGTGTATGTATATATATATACACATATGTTTGACTTGCTACCTTCTATCGTATTTTTACGGACCAAAACCAGCTCGGAAAACAAGAGGGTATGCTTTGCACGAGCCATGTTAAGAACTGTGGATGTTGGGTCGGATGTTTTGGGTTAGTTTGGAAGGCACTTATAGAACGCACACACACAGACACGGTTTTGGGTTTGCGAGGGAATCTTGTGGCGGGCGCTGGGCTTGTGATTCTGGCTTGCTGATCTACTATAGCGACGTGTGGCAATACTACTCTTCAATTGTTTGCGTACTACGGTCAGGTTCCAGAAAGTTTAACAATACTACGCTTGAATTGGTTTAGTGTTGTGGTCAAAGTCCAGGAAGTTTGGCAGTACTATTTTTTGGAGGGCAGTTCCACTCTTGAATAGTAGGATCTGTTTCGAGGAAACGTTTTTGGGCAAGACTTCTTTGGAAGGGGCAATGCCATGTGCGAAGTGAAAATGTGCTGGGTTCAGGTTTCAAGATGACCTTGGTGGGAAGCGACGCCAGTGGGGACCAGCCTTCGTTTACCATGCGCATGCATTTCAAAGTTGGCGCGCTTGTTGCCCAAGCCACGCTCAGCTTGACACCCCATGGGAAGGGAAGGGGGTTAGCAGAATCAAGGCACATCAAGGCACATATGCTTCAATGCCCAAGCAAACATTTTGGAACTCAAAAACAGTAGGCATGTTGCATATTTTAGTTGGAGCAGGCCAGAAGTAACTAAGTAGCAGCAGCAAGAGTCAAACGAGTAACGCCCACTTATGAAGAAGATATTGACCCTGAACAAAGCTAAGCAACCAGCCAGCCAGGATAAATCCTAAAGTGAAGCCAAGGGTTTGTTGCCCCTAAATAGTTCTTACCCCATCTCCAACCAGATTCCTTCACTCAACCCATCCGACCCCATCACCATGACAAACCCCGACGGGCCTGTTTAATTCCAATCTATAGCGAACTACCAGCTTCCCCTCAAAAAACAAACGACAAATCATTCTTGGGGGTCTATTCGTGTGTTGGTTTATGTGTATACGCATGTGTATGTATGTGCAACCTTCTGTGCAGACACTCCTAAAACAATCAGCCACGGAGCCCTCAGAGTCATGTAGTGCTACGCAAACCAGCCGTGGCCGACAACACAGCACAAATGCACATAGTGTTGCGGAATCGTGACGTGTTTTGGGCGGAGTACCACTTGCATTCGACGCATCCGCTGTCCGTGATATAAGGCCATTTTGTTTCCCGCTCCATCAGGCTTCATCTCGCCAATTTCGTTGCTGTAGCTAAGGATAAAGGTAATCTTGACAGGCCTTCCCTAGATCTTCCATCATAAGAACGCGAACATCTACCGTACGAGGGCTGAGGCTGAGCCTGTCTCGGCTTGACGGCCGGTCTTTTAAGCAAGACACTAACTTGCTTTTCGCAGACTTGCAGTTGTGTTTTGTTTTGCGTTGGGTAGTGATATGTACAACATGTTTGTTTAAGGGTGCCCGAAGAGCGACCCTATTCGGTAGGTGCCCAAGTTGGCTGCCACCGGCACACCCCGCACCCGCATGCTTTTAACATACCTCGTTTTTGAACACAAGCTGATCGCACTTGGGAAACTGCTCTGATGGAACCAAAGGGTGGACACTTGTGCGAATTCGTGAGAACATCGGCTCCAAGTAAACTCCATGACCTATGACCCCTTTTTCTAGGGGTCATGGAGACTCTAGGGCTAGTCATTCGGGGCCAATGTCCAAAGAACACCTCACTTCCCGAGTGGATTGGCCAAGAAAAAGTTTCGCTGCCCAAAATGGTAAAACAAAAACCCAACAGTTGTCCAGGAACTCACGGAGTAAGACCCTAAGCTAAGACCCTTTCTTGGGGGCCAACTTTGGCATTTAGCGATGCCAACTTCGGGCGTGTCAACCTCAAGTGTCGTCCTCCTCGTCTCGTGCCAACCTGGTCGTCCTTGGCTTCCACTTTGGGTTTCCCCCCAAAAAAGGCGGTCCAATAAAGGGTACACGAACCAAAAGCACGCGCCAAGGGGCAGCTAGCTGCAAACCGGTTCATTCTCAGTTGTTCAGCGACCCTGGAAAAAAGGGAACCTTTTTTGGGAAGACCATTTTTAGTGAGCAGCTACCAAACAAAAAGGGGGAAACTAATTGGTGCCACTGAACAACTGAGCATTGGGATGGGGCTTGTTGGCCAACGTGTTCAAAGGGCGCTAGGCGTTCAGCATTCGCAGCCGTCTCTTGCAGACCAGCAGCATGGTGCTGTGCATTGAATTTCTGGGAGCGACACGCCTACCCGCCAAGACTTCCAAGCCAAAACTCAAGGCTGCAGAAGAACATCATGGCACGACATGCTGCCAAGCTGGTCCCGGGGTACGACTCAAAATGGGGACGCCCATTTTGGACGGTTTGAAAGAGGACGGAACAACCACTTAGGGAGGCTCCCTGATTTTGAGCCGCAGCCGTGCCAGCCAGCCGGCATGGGTGGAGGCAATGCCCACTGGGGTTCCGCGCTGTTGCTGGAGCCATCGTCCTGCAAATGAAATGCGAGGGGCCTCAAAGTAAGAACTACACAAATAGCTGTGGGTCAACAATAGGTATCTAACAGGGAAACCTGGAAATATGGACTAAAACCTGCGGTCCCCTGCTGGTTTAATTTGGACCCAAGACTTCCGAAGCAAGGACCCTCCCCCACTTGTCAAGAAATGAAGATCCCCAGGCAGGAGTCGGGGTAATCCAGCAGGGGTTTATTGCAGCTTTTCCCCAGGTTTGGATTGGCACCGATCCAAGTCACTCAGCGGCAAGTCGCCCAGTGCAACCGCGGCACCTCCTCCCTCTGATCTTCTCGCGTTTCCTCGTCCTGCAATGGGATCGTGTTGTTCAAGCACCCTAAAAGAACTTACTTACTCACGCCTTAAAGCAAACACACCGAAGAACAACAACCGAGCAAATGATCACAAACACAGCAATTGAAAACAAACACAAGCAACACGACAGCACATCCAGCACACCAAACACCAGATAGTACAAGTCAACACCTCCGAGCAAGTGATTCATGGATTCTGGCAGGTTGGACACCCGAAGGGACGCCTTACACCCCCCCGTTCCCACGATTCAAGATAAATACACAAACACAAGACAACAAATGGCTTCCCGTTGACTAGTTGGGTGACGCACTCACAAGTATGAATATACATGTGTGTCTACATATGTACAAACTATACATGTATAGATATGCACACATGTACCCACCAAGGGCAAGCATCTTTTGCGGTAAATTGGGCGTCCAATTTCCAGACAAATCCATCAAAGGTACACTCAGGAAATACTTTAGGCCGTGAATTGTGTAGCATACCAACGAGGGACTGCTTGCCCAATGTCTTTATTGGAATCAACGAGTCGCGAACGACTTGCGCTAGCTTCTTCGTTTCCTGGAAAGACTGAGAATATTTCCGGTGGTGCAATCAACTCCCTTGAAAACCGACATATGGAAAACATACAAAATATTCATGTCAGCCAATGGAAGACAAAGCTTCTAGACTTTTCCCGTGCAGTCTTTTTCTCATGGAGTCACTTACGTGGAGCCTGCTCCTGAAGGGGGAAGGCCTCCCTCATGATGGATACTTAGGGTCCATTTTGCAACCTCCTTCATTTCGGGTATTTGTTTAGGCTTCAGTCTGCAAAGACGGCCCAAAAGACCCAGAACCTTATGGCTCTTAGCTCAAATGCCCAATCCCATGGGAAAGAAAGGCGTCCTTTTTCGAGTTTCAAGGGGAACCCTTCCCCACCGTGGAAAAACAACTCGCGCCGGGGAACTGGGATAGAGCAAGAGGCCCATGCCTCGTCAGGCGCGGCCTTCAAACGAGGCTTCACCTCATGCCGGATGTCAGCTCCGAACCCAAAGGGCCCGAAGCTTTGCTCTAAAATGAGTCAGAATCAGAATCCAAAACATGGTATTGACAAAGTGTACCCAAAGCCATGAAAACAAAGAAACGGGCTGCCGCACCCATATATATATATATATATATATTATATTGGGACTATCCCTTGCTAACCTTCATCTACCCAGGGTTCGATTGTGGCTCAAATGGTTCCAATCGCTTGCACCTACCAAGTGTGCAGTATCGCATCGAACACATTTGTTACACATTTTAGGACACAACAAACATAATCGAGAACTGCACCCAGTTCTGGAAAACTAACAGGGCCACCCTGTCAGGTTCCATTAAAGTGGGAAATTCCACCATTTCTGGGAGACCACTGGGAAAACCAGGCTTGCCAACGACTAGTTCTCCCCCAACTTGGGCTTGGGGGGGATGATTCCCCAGTATCACAAGAGTTGCTCAACGATCCCTTCATTCCCACTTAAAGAAAAACACCACAGTGAACTGCTGCCTTGTGCCAAGTGCTGGACTCCTTTTTAACCACAGTTGTTTGAACCCATAGATTCTCACGACATCGGCCGCCGAAAAGGACCGGCAGCGCTCGGCACGTTTTATCTGCCACGGTTGGCTCCCGCGAGCCGGATTACTCGCTTCCAGTCGGCCTGAAAAAGATGGAATGCTCAATCTCCCAGTTGCCAGTCGTTTAAAAGGCAGAACAATGATGGTCACCATCTGTTTTCAGGGTTCACTCGGAAAAAAAAAAAAAAAAAAAAAAAAAAAAAACAAGTACCCAAGTAGCGATCAGTGGAGCCTCTTCCAGAATTGGTTTTAGGAAGTGGATGTCCCTTCTTCGGCTTAATTTATCTTGATAGAGTGGAATTGTTGTTTAACAAATTGTGTGTTTATTTAAGAGTGACTCCACTTCTTTAGGATTGAGTGACCACTGCAAAGGGTTTGGAGTGCAACTGGAATCTGATCTACTGATCTACTCGGGCTTGACCAGCCTCACAGTCACCTGGCCCCTGGCGACATCCACCTCCACCACCCGCACTTGGACCACATCGTCCACGCTGAGGCTCTGCTGAAGCGTACCTGAGTAAATATAAGCTCCTGGAACTTAAAATAGGTTCACCGGATAATCAAGTTCAACTAAATTATCAACAATATGTTTAACTAGAAATAATGCTTAAATGAAACAATGGTTGTTGAAATCATGAGATCTGGAAAAGGTAAAAAACGCTCAGGTCACTCAATGTGGGCTGCTGTTGGGACTCACAAAAACACCCCAAGTCATCCCTTTTGGTGCTTTTTTCTTGGCTATCTGCACAGAATAACATAGTTTAAAATTATGCTAATCATAGTTGGCCTATAAATCAAGCTTTGGACGCCTGCAAGATACTGGGCCAAGAATCAAACATACGTGGGTTTCTCAAACTGGCGATTCCCGTGGGTTCCCTAAAAATGGTTGACTTACCTGAAGTGTCCCTTTTGAGCAACCAAAAAGGGTCATAAGAACATCATTTTGAGAAACACTCATAATAATCTTGCTGCGGAATCATACAATTTCCCAACTTGAAGCATGTGGCAACAAAACACCAGTTTTTGCGAGAGAGCTCCTTGTCTTATGAGTTGTTTATGTTGCGTTGGAGGGGGTTTCCCTAAAATAAGAAGGGTACCCTTATTCTCACCTGTCTACTGGAGGACCTCGTGGGGGTTTTCCGGGAAACGACCCACCGAAATTGGGGCACCCCCAAAAAGATTTGCTAAAAGGGCACTACTCAGGGGGCCCTTTTTTCGCGCCCAAGTCGAACCCCCCGCATTTCCGCCCGTTTTTGGAGGCACGGATCCCACGGAACCGCTGAGGTGGACCGAGGGATCCGAGGGATCCAAGGCGCGCGCGCGCTCCTTGGCGGTGAAGCCCGGGAAGTTGGCCAAGGGCACCAGCCCCGCCGTCACCGCGCCGAAGTCCACGAAGGCGCCGATGCGGGGATTCACGTGCGTCACCGCCGCCTCGAGGTTTTTACACCAGAAAAATCAACCAATTTTAGGGTCTCAAACAGGGGTGGGAGAAAAAGGAGGGGAAATACATGGAGGGTGCTCCAAACCAGACTACCTGGGTAGGTGTCGGACTCTGGGGGCTTATAGTTTGCTCACTTCCGATCGAGTGGGTTGGCCACCAACAAGTCACCGAACCTTTTGTGAAGGCCACTAACATGGTCCAAACCAAAAAAGTGACTCAAGTCCATCAACTCAAGAAGCGAGGTTTCCACGGAAATATGGAGGTTGATCACAAGAAGGCCCGAGTGTCAGACTTTGCGCTGGTTTTCTTTGGCTTCCCGGCCCATTTTGAGAACATGTTGGGTGTGAGGAGCAGGTTGTTTGATCAATGCTGAAATGTGTGAACAACCTTGGGCCAGGGCCTGGTTTCAAGAATTGCTGCAGCTGAAAGTTTTGGGGTCTCGGCTGCGGGCTGGGGTTCCGTAAGGGCTCAATGGGGGCTGGGCATTGTCGCAAAGCCTAGTAGCTCCGTTGAAGAAACCAACATGATGATGGTCCAAAATTAGTCAGGGGTTGTCTAGGTGTGTGCGTGTGTGCGTGTGTCTCGCGAATTCATTTGGGACTGGATGAGTCCCAATCACTTTTCTTTCTGGCTGATGCTTGTTTTCATGTCATGAAACTCATTGGATCCCCCTCTGAGCATGCCCATGTCTGCCGTGTTTTCACAACCCAATTCGACTCCCAAGAAAGGGAAACTAAACGGCGTAGCGAGGACCCTTGCCACGGTGCTCCATTCACCCACTGCAAACTGTCACGTTCAACTTGTTTCCGAATTGGAATGGAGCAACTCGGGAGATGACGTGCTTTAAGTTAGTGGTCATAGGTGTCCTGTTGGGGGAAATCGATGGCCCTTGTAGACGATGAAGCCACCAGGTTTAATGAGGGCCATCTATGTTTCTACCAAAACAACCAAAAAAACAACCAAACATTTTATGTATCGCGAACATGTTCCAATCCAACAGGTGATTCAAGTTCAGGAACCCGGGGAGTGAGAATGACGTGTTTTTTGGTCAAGCGGTTTCTTCCACGACTTTCCCAGCGCCTCTTTCACACTGCCGGTCTCTATCTCAGAAAGGCGCAGGCGGCCGCTGAAGGTGTCGTGCATGGTGAGCGACACGAAGTCTTTCTTGAACTGCTTCACCTGAGTCGCAATCAAAACCTGGTACACAATAGTGAACCCCAAACCAGCTAAGAAAATTTACAAGGCGGCGACCCGTCTGGGACTGCCCCTAGCCTTCATCTACCCGGGTTTGGATTGAGACCCACCTTGCCAAAGGGGTCTGCGAAAAAGACATGCCCAGCCCCGGTTGGTTTCTTGTTGGAAAAGCTAAATCCAACAACTAATGGTTGCCGTTTGGGAAAACTGTGCTTGCCATTGATCGCTCCTAGTTGCAAAGCATCTAACCGTCTCCCCAGGCCGCACCACATCGCCTGGATGGCTGATCTTGGTCTTGCTGAGATCCTGGGCTTCTTGCATCAAAGGCTCGAAAGGATGAGAGGAGCAACGCATATTCCGAATTCAAGACTGGACATGGGTAACACAAGGTTCCACAGCTCTAGGGGTTCATTCCCCATTATTTTCAACCATTGTTCGTTTCAAAAACCAGCTGTTTCCCCTTGGATTCTGCTGGTTTTCTGAAAAGAAGGATCCCTGGAAAGAATGGGGCAGTGTCCCCTAGAACAGTCGAAATGATTGGCAGGGGTACGTGCCAAAAAATGGGCATGGATGCAACATGATCTTGGCCCTGTTCACTCGTCCCAAATTAAATCCACTAAAGCAGCCCATGACACCCCGTTTCTCCCCGCTCGTTTCGAATCCGAGCTTCAGCCAAGTAAATTCTGCCAGGCCGACCGTCCACGTCCAGCTCTGCCCATGTGTCCCTCGTTGATTTCACCTCAACGACCAAAAGGTGGGGCTGTCCTTCTCTTGAGCTAAATCCCCCAGTAAAAAGGTTAAAATAAGGGTACCCTCTTTTCTCTGTAGTCTACTTTTAGTAGGGGAACTCTCCCCCCAAAAAAGGGCATAAAAGGGCACTACTGGGGGACCTAATATTTAGTCTACCCGACAACAAACGCTTCTAGTTTTGGAGGAGACCCCAAGTCTGACCCCTCAAGCCGCAGCCACGTGGCCTCGGCAGTCACCACGTCCCCGACTTCCAAGGTGCCGAGGCTTGGGCCGCTCTCGGCGCCCACTTGCGCCCGCGGCACGCGGGAATTCTTCATGCCTTGCCTGACATCCAAACCGTGGAGGTTTGGGAGGGGTGTTTTTTGGACCTTGTTTGGGCGCTAAACTGACCGCTGCTGAAGTTCTGAAGCAATGGCATGACGCCTTGCAAATTGGCAATGGGGCAAATTCATCCACCAGGAATTGGACCGCAGGAATCTTAGTCTGTCTACGTTTCCATTTGCCAACGCTTCCATTTTGGGGTTGCCCTATTTTTGAACAGCCAATTTGCATGGCCGTTTCAAGGAGGTTGAAGCAAGCCAGGAAAACGGTTGGGCTTTGGGGCCCCTGACCACGGAAACCGAAAGGGGCTCGGGCAAGAGAGTATACCAAGGGTGTACCTTGTGTACCATACGCCGCATCTGCCCGAAAGCTGTACATCCTCAAGGGAAGCCCTAGGAAACGTCCAAATAGCCCTCAGAAAAGGCAACCGCAGCATACCTAGGCTTTGCCTTAATGGGGCGTGATTCTGGTGTATAGATTGGTCGCGGTCATGCAAATTGCTTCTGGAAACCAAGATCACAAGCAACTAGGTGTAGGGCAAGTTTTGGGACCTGCTTGGGACCACCAATGTCTTATCAACGATCATGCGAATGGGGGAAACCTCCAGAGAGTCGCCAAGTTTCACACCACTGCCACTTCCAAGGACCCTTCCTTCCAAACAAAACCTGCTGGTGTTGGACAAGGGTTGAACCAAGCTACAAACGGTGGATTTGCCACATAATCACAAAACCAAACACACACACACACACAGAGACAAACACACAGGCACACACACACAGACACACAGAGACACAAAGAGACAGAGAAATAGAGAGACAAATACACACAGACAAAAACACAGACGCGCAAAGACATCCCGCCCACTCACGCACCCATGCACCCACGCATGCACCCACTCGCGCATGCAGAACCAGAAAAAGCAGCGCGCCGCACGCAAGCCCGCAAGAACGGAGGCGACGCAGGCACGCGAGAACGTACGCACAGTCACACAGCCACACACGCACACACGCACACACACGCACACACACGCACCCACACCCACACCCACACCCAAACCCACACCCACACCCACACCCAAACCCACACCCACACCCACACCCAAACCCACACCCACACACCCACACACCCACACACACACCCACACCCATACCCACGCACGCACAAACAACAAACGCGCCCGCAAAACTAGCCGGTGGAGGGGGGAGGGGGGGGGTCCAGGAGTTCAATGGACCTGGGGGGGGGAGGGGGGCAACATGCAAAGAGGATCGTGTTCCAAGCCCAATGGTGATGCTCAAAAAACCAACGAAAAGAGACCAAATGCAGCACAGGTTGCAGAAAGCAGTCATGCCACCTTGCCATCAGCAGGAGGATCACACCCCATCGCCGCCCCATGATTCGCCCCATCCGCCCAGTGGTCTGCGCGGGATCCGATTTGTACCGCTTGTTTTTGGAACGGGGTCTGTCCTTCCCGACGGAAAAAACCTCGTGCAAGGAGCTGGTTGGAAGCGAGAAAAGCTCCTCGCCTAAAAGTTGGGTGGGGGGATTGGGAGGTGCGCCGACTGTCACGGCTTCAAAGTGTCCGTGCTCGGAGCCCAGAGACCTTTTCAGACACCAAGGCACAAACCGAAAACATTCCGCCAGTTCCCTTTCCCGCGACACCCAAGTGGCTGATTCCTTTCCTAGTTTCACTTTGCGAGGGGGCTTTCCAAGACTATCGCAGAAAGTGGCAACCCAAAACCAGTTAGGGGGCTGTTCTCCCAAAAGTTCCCTCTCAAATGTTGCACCCCGCAGTCCAAAACCAATCAGGGGCTGTGCCTGATCCGAACTCCATCATGTGGTTAGGCAGCATCTGCCTTTTGACTCTCTGTGAGAATCACTGGACCGACCCCCGAACCAGCTGCGAAAACTACATGGGGGCGTGCTTTCTTTGGGGGGCGGGGTACCCCCTTGGTTTAAAGGGAGCCAAAAGGACAAGCACAGATTTTGTCCCCCCCATTTGACACATACTTTCACCGAGGGCATAGTTAACCAGCCTCCTGCGTGTTTCTCGGTACGGGGCCGAAATGGGCAGAATCTAGATTGGTTTTGAACCAATTTTGGCCAGCCCGATTTGGCTTCTATGCTTGCAGGTGGTCCCTTTTTGGGGAGAGCCATGGCTTTCTTTCGATTTGCGCTCACCTCTGTGGTTTTGAACATCAGGGCAGCCGTTGAACATGCCCTTTCTTACTCGGGGGTGTCCTTTTTGTGCGTGATCCTGAAGGTTGCCTGAGGCAGCCCGCTAGCTGTGGCAATCTTTGCATGCAACCAAATGGGCATGCTTTTGGCGCCGTCTGGGAACCTCAAGGCAAATGAGCCCAGGAAACCCGGGCGAAGCGTGTTCTAAAAGGAACCCATCTGCGATCGAACCCATTCAACATGTCGGGGTAGTGGTTTGGGGATGGAAGCCAACTCAGAACTAATTTGGGCGTGATAAAAGTTGAATTGAGCTTTTGTTTTATGGAAGGGTTGGCCTTGGCGAGAGGTTTCGCGTGCCTTTGCAGACTTTTGGGAGTTCCCCCCGAAGCTAAAAACCCCGAGAAAGATCGCCGCTCCTTTTTGGCGCTCTGTGTTGGACGGCAACAAATACTCGGGGATTCATGTCCACCAACCAACTTGGAGGTGGTAGCTACCAGTTGAAGAGATCCCCTAAAATCCCGGGCAGCAGCTTGAGGTCTCGGCCGGCTCCGCCATGGTCTCAATGACAGGCCCCCCACACCTCGGAGAAGAAATCCCGGGGCTTCAATGCTCAACCCACGTCGGTACGTCGGGTAGGTTATGTTGACCCCATTTTAATCAACTCCAGTTTACTAATAGGCGGTGTGTTCCCTGGGTTTAGTGGGGAATCACCATTTAGGTGGGGTAACTGGGGTCTGTTGCCTAAAAACCATGGTAATAGATGAAGTAGGCACATCCAAGCACCCGAAACTTGTGGGGTTACAGCCGCCTGAAATTCGAAGGTTCGATGCACTGGAATTGGGATGTGAGAGCCTGACGGCAAGCGCGTGCCCCTCGGCAGCCCCGGTATTTCCTGTGCAAGTAAATTTGGCCGTACGTATTAGGTACTTGCCTCTCTGAGGTATGCTGCCATGTTTGGGCTCGCAACGCCGCTCATCGATGTTCGCAGAATCGCATGCAACCCAGGTAAGTGGCTGAATTTCTGTGTGCCTCGGATGTGCGCCTCAAATTCTGGAGCTAGTTGCGCCAATTCCAATTGCCAGCTGGCTTTGGGATGGACCCTTGAAAAGATCACGTTCTTTTGCCAGATTGAACCCGCTTCAATAAGCATCCGCACTGCGCGTATCTGAGCTCCGACCCGTTTCGGCCCAGCAAGCCGGTGCTGTCTTCTTTCGTGCGGGCGCAGTCTTTGTGTTGAGGGTGCCTTTTGAGCGTAGCTTTCAGGGGAAAGCAAAGGGAAACCACCTCGCCCTGCTTGGTTCTTGCGTCTTTTTCTTCTCTTGTGCTTTTTTCGTTCTGGGGGGGGCCCCCCTTGAAAAGACAACCGCATGTTGAATCACTGTTTGAGCAATTTTCAGGCGCACGCTCCTTCCAAGCATGAAAGCTGACCGAAAGGCGTGGAAACACCGCTTGCCTTTCTGAGAACCTCGAAAGTCCACTTCCGAAGGAGGGTATTCTTGATAGGTCTGATAGGTCGTTCTCTGGCAGATTGTCGTCTGCAAGCTCCAAGCACGATTGTCAGTCTGCAAGCTCCAAGCACTAGCTCAGGAGGCTGCACAATACCCCAAGGCCCGCAGCAGCCATTGGCGCAAACCTGAGCTCAGGGTGTTGGCCTCTTGCGAGGGTGGCCCGTGCGGCATGGAAGGAGCAACTTGGTTGCTGCGATGACCCCTCTGCAAAAAGTGGATCACTTCTTGTGCGTCCAATGGAAATCCTACCCTGTTTCAACAAGTTACAAGTCCAAAGATCCAACCAACCAGCATAAAGGCAAAGGGTACCGGAGGGCATGCAATGCAACAATTGGAGAGCCCTGCTGGGTCTGTGACTGCAAACGCAACCAAGGGAAGCGAAAGCTTGGGCTTTTGGCAACCCTTCGGATCAGGGGCAAGTGATTTTCAGGGACTTGGGCAAGTTCAATTCCGGACTGGACTTGCCAGAAAAAAGTCCCTTTCCCGTGCCACCGAAATGGCCCAACCCCAAAAAGTCCAGGAACCTGGTCATTGGGAACCTGATTGAACGTGGATGCCACGAATGAGAAGGCACAAACCACGCACACACACACACAAATACATACAACAGGTGAATAAATCAAAGGACCCCCCCCCTCCCCGCCCCACGATGACATGAAAACACGAAGAGGTGAATAAATCAAAGGCCCGCCTCCCTCAACAGGTGCCAGGCCCCCCCCCCCCCCCCCCCAACCACACTTCCTGGCTAGTGAACCTGTGAACCCCCGTCCCACAAAGCTGTCGCGCGCTTTTTCTCTGGGGACCACGGCCCAGGTGGGGGATCGCTTCATCTCCGCCTCCCTCAGCAGCTTTCGCACCTCCACGTCCTGAGGCCTCGCGCAACCAACCGCTGCTTGGTGGCTGGAACGGCCCCCTGCAAAAAGGTAACTTTTTGGGGGTTTAGTGGAAACCACCTTTCTTTGCCAACAAGTTAAAGTCTAAAGATCCAACCCAACAGCAGTCAAGACTGGTACGGTGGAGGGTTGCGAAATTCGCTTCTCGCACCATGAAACTTGTTTCCACGGGAAACCCCATAACATTTATTGGACCTTTACAGGGAATCGAATTATATTCTATTCACCCGTTTCCCGATGCCACAACGCACCATCATGAAAATCAAGCAACCCACTCACTGTTTCTTTTGATGAATCAGCCGAACATTGGATTAACTGTGCAAATTAGTCTGTCTTCAGAGGGTGTTTGCAATGCTTTTCGCCATGATAATCCCGTGTCGCCTCCGACAAAACGCAGTATAAAAGAGCAGCACGCAGCGCAAACACCATCGATGTTTCATGCTTGTCCAAAGCGAGCAGTGTGGAAATTGCACGTTGTGGCTGTATGTCCTATTTATTTCCTGGGAGTCGTGGCTTGGGGTGGAAACCATCTTAGAGATACGCGCACACACACTTGAACGACCGGCCCTGGTCCCGGGCATTGCTTTCTGCGCCGCCGCTAGCCAATCAGAGGCTGGGCCAGGTTGGCCTCGAGTGTCCGAAACCCATCCATGTGATGATTGGTCCCAGGGAAAAGCAAGCACATGACCAATTCTCTATCCTTCTGGCTTCAATTGTCGTCAAAGGGTAGGCATTGGACAGTTGTACAGGCCCCATGAGTTTATGAAAGCGTCATCCCTGAGTGGTAAAGAGAAACAATTCC